ACTTCCAGGAAGCCATCTCTGCATCCATAGCTGCCTGCCACTGAGAGGAGTAGGGACCCTCTATCGCCTCCGCGTAAGAGCGCGGAGTCGGGATGTCTGGTGCATCCGGGTCTCCCTCAGGGGCTAGCAGTACAGACGCGAGACGAGGTGAAGCGGCGGCCAGACACTGGAACTCCTCCTGCCTGTCCTCAAGGACGTCCGTGCCAAGGGCACACTCACCCCCGACGGACGGAGGACAGGCAGACTCAGACACAGTGACAAGACGAGCAGCGTAGTCTAGACGACAGCGTGCAGCAAAGTCGACAAGCTCAGTGACAAGGGCAGACGCAGCAGACGACTCGAAGGAGGGGTCAGTGACAGCAGTAGCCAGGAGACGCGTGACAGTAGGACTGGCAGCACGAAGAGCGTCCGACTCCGGGTCGGCAAGAGCAGGAAGAGAGGAAGTAGGAGGAGAAGGCAAAGGGGCACGCAGAGGAGCAGTGGACGGACGCAGTGACATCCGGTGCGTGCCAGGGACAGGAGGAGGACGCTGACGCGACCCGCGACCACTAGCGCGCTCAGTACGAACAGGCGACGCAGGACGAGACGCAGGCTCACGAGGCTCAGTAAGACCTCCAGTCGGACCAGCGTAGGGAGAAGGAGCAGGCAAAGGGGAGGCAGGCTGTAGCTGTGGCTGTGACCGGACAGGCTGCGGACCCTCTAAGGGAGGAGGAGGAGGTGTAAGACCAAGAACCTGCTGCAGGAGCGGAACGAAGTACGGTCGGGGCCGCGCGGCGACGCTAGAAACAGCAGGAACAGCACCAGTAGCCCCGGCAGGAGCACCCACTCCAGCAGCACCTCCAGCAGCACCACCAGAAGCTCCAGAACCTCCAGCCGCAGCACCAGGAGCACTGTCAGTCGGGCCGCCAACGGCAGGCTCAGCGCCAACACCCTCAGCAGGACCAGCTCCAGGAGAACTCTCAGACTCAGCAGCTCCAGCACCCACAGTACGAGCGCCGGCGGGGCGCGCAGCAGCAGTACCCTCTGCAGCCGAAGAACCACCAGCACCAGAAGCACGCCTCCAGCGCCCTGCAAACCACTCACGCAGCTCCTGTGGGGAGAGTGGCTCCCGGCGAGACGAAGCACCCCCAGGCACAGCACCTCCGGGCTCAGCACCCCTAGGCTCAGCACCCCCAGGCTCAGCACCCCCAGGCTCAGCACCCCCAGGCACAGCACCCCCAGGCACAGCACCCCCAGGCTCAGCACCCACAGGCTCAGCACCCCCAGACTCGGCACCTCCAGTCTCAGCACCCCCAGACTCCGCACCCCCAGGCTCAGCTCCCGCAGCAGCACCAGAGTCACCAGTGACCTCGACAGGCTCGACCGCGTCTACCTGGGACACACCTGAAGGGGCAGGACCCTGAGGGGGGAGGGGGACTACCGGGGGGGGACCTGGTACCAAGAAGAGCGGGGGTGGGGGGAGGGACGCAGTGCGGTAGGGGAAGAGGCGGTAGTAGGGTACCGACTCGTCGAACGTGACGTCCTGGGAGGACAGAACACGTCGAGAGGTGGGGTGGTAAAACTGCCACCCAGGGGCGTCGGGGGGGAACCCCAGGAAGACGCAGGGAGAAGCACGAGGGGACAGCTTGTCCGCAGACAGGTCGCGAACAAACGCCCGAGATCCCCAGACCCGGAACGCTGACGCATCGCCAACCTTCCCCGTCCACAGAAGGGCTGGGGAGGTCTCCGGTCGAGAGACCCTGGGGTGGAGGTTGATCTGGTGCGCAGCGTACCTGACCGCAAACGGCCACAGAAAATGGGGAGCAGCCGCATGCATCATGGACGTACGAGCGACGTCCATGACCATGCCAATGCGGCGCTCAGCAATCCCATTCTGCTGCGGTGAGTCCGGAAGCGTGAAGGTCTGACGGATGCCTCGCGCACGACAGTAGGCACTCAGGAGGCCAGAGGAGAACTCTCCGCCTCTGTCCGAGTGCAGACGCAAGACAGGGAAGTCAGAGCCAAAGCTCCTCCGAAGCTGGAGACGAGCTGCGCGGATCCAGTCGATCAACACCGCAGTGACCTCACCCTTGCTGCGCAAGGGGAAGACTGTGGTGTAACGCGAGTAGTCGTCAACCACCAGCAGGAAGTAGCGCTCCTGACCCTGTCCACGGACGCGGGCTGGGCCCCACACATCCATGTGAAGCGTCTGCAACGGGGCCTCTGTCGGAGGAAACTGGGAGGAGTGAGGGGCAGCACGCTGGCGCCCCTCGACACAGGGGACACAGGTGGGGCCAGGGCCCGGAGGAAGGGGAGGGAGAGACCGGGGAAGACCAGACACAAAGTCAAAGAGAGAGACCTCATCTATCGCATCACACAGTAAGTACAGCTGCAGGTCTTCAATCCAGACGGCAAAGTCAATGGCCCTCCCCTCAGCGTCAAAGGTAAGAACATTGGGTGTGGCCATGACAGCAGCTGAAAATCTCACCGGGCTGGGAGAGGCGGGTAGGTCAGCAGCAGAGGAACAGCAGCACGGCTCGGGCGGCGCGGGCGGCTCGGGCGGCACGGGCGGCTCGGCGGCGGCTCGGGCGGCGGCTCGGCGGCGGCTCGGCGGCGGCTCGGCGGCGGCTCGGCGGCGGCTCAGGCGGCGGCGGCTCGGCGGCGGCTCGGCTGCTGCTGGGCGGCGCGGGCGGCTCGGGCGTCACGGGCGGCTCGGCGGCGGCTCGGGCGGCACGGGCGGCTCGGCGGCGGCTCGGGCGGCGGCTCGGCGGCGGCTCGGCGGCGGCTCGGCGGCGGCTCGGCGGCGGCTCGGCGGCGGCTCGGCGGCGGCTCGGCGGCGGCTCAGGCGGCGGCGGCTGCTGCTGGGCGGATCGGCGGGGCCGCGTAGCAGAGTGGCGGCTGGGCCGCGACCGAGTAGAGCGGCGGGGCCGCGTAGCAGGGGGCGGCGGGGCCGCGTAGCAGAGGGCGGCGGGGCCGCGTAGCAGAGAGCGGCGGGGCCGCGATCGAAGGGCGGCGGGGCCGCGTAGCAGAGGGCGGCGGGGCCGCGTAGCAGAGGGCGGCGGGGCCGCGTGGCAAAGGGCGGCGGGGCCGCGATCGAAGGGCGGCGGGGCCGCGTAGCAGAGGGCGGCGGGGCCGCGTAGCAGAGGGTGGCGGGGCCGCGTAGCAGAGGGCGGCGGGGCCGCGAGGCAGAGTGCGGCGGGGCCGCGTAGCCGAGGGCGGTGGGGCCGCGATCGAAGGGCGGCGGCGGGGCCGCGTAGCAGAGGGCGGCGGGGCCGCGATCGAAGGGCGGCGGGGCCGCTAGGGAAGGGCGGCGCAACGGTCCGCTAGGGGCGACACGACGGGTCGCTAAAAGAAAACGCGCCTCGGGGCGCGGTTCGGTGGGCCCTAGAAGCAGTCCCTAGGAGGGAACCTGCTCTGATTCCATGTGAAAACAAAGAACGAGAATGAGATGACTATGAACGAAGTGAGTACAAATAGGAAACCCTAATTGGGTTGTACCCCCTATGGGATACCCCACTATAGCCTACAGAAACAAGTAAGCTATAAGTTCTGACACGCGCAACATTATCTCGTGCGAGATGTCCGGCTTCAGCCCTCCGACGTAACGGTCCACCCGCTCCGCTTCGTGCATGTAGCCGACCTGCTCGCAAAGTGCGAGAAAACCGCTCGTATAGTCTTGAACTGACCCGAGCTGGCGCCAAGTGCGCAGTTTCTGACGCGCCGAAATTGAAGCCGCGATCGGCTCAAAACGCGCCCGAAGTCCTGCGCACCACGCATCCCACGTGCTGTATTGGGCGGTCTCGCAGAACGAACTCCAGGTGACAGCTGGACCCGAGGGCCCTTCCTCGTGCGACGGTGGCTCGTAGGCGCGTGGCGACGTCACGATGACTCGCCACCAGTCCATGGCGGGCCCCCTTAGCAGTGAAACCGCATACCGGATCTTTGCGGCGTCCGACTCGACGTAATTGGCATCGAAGAAAACGTTCATCGTGAAGACCCACGATTGAACTGTCGGACCGCCGCGTTGACTTGGGTCGAAGCAGGGCGGGCGTTGCGGCTTGAGCGGCATTGGTGCCATGTTGGGTTGTTCGCCACTTGTCGCCGCAAATTCCACGTGCCGACGGACTTCTCGAGGCTCCCGTGGGCTTGGTGCGATCCTGTTTCCTCCCATGCCAGGCATCGGCTGGGCGGCGCCCTCACTGGCTGCGCCTGAGCGTTGTCCCGTGCTGTCGTGTTGTGTTGGTGTGCCGGACGAGATGATGATCGGCTCATCCGAACGTGCAGATGCGTTTGTTGGTGCGTGGGATGTCGTCGGTATGTTCATCGTGGATTGTTGACGGGCGGAGTCACGTTCCGCCGTGAGGGTCGTGATTTCAAGCGCCGAATCCTCCAGTTGACGCACGAGACGATCAAGTTGCTCCTGCGTCAATGTGGCGAGCGTGAAGTCGGCCATGGCGGGGGTGTCGGGCAAGCTCAGCGAGAGCCTCGGTCGTGGCCGTGCGTGCTTGCGAGAGAGCACTACGAGCGGCGGTGCTGTATCGCTGAGAGACGTCTACCCCCCCCAAAAATTGAGATAGTGGGGAAGCGAAGGTGTGGATGCGGTCCGAGATGGGATCGTAGGCTCTGAATACCAAGTGTTACGAGTGCAATTGAGTGAACGAACGAGAATTGCACTATCGAAGCAAGAGTACAATGAGCGAAGGCATGAGCGAAGAATATATAGCGAAACTACAGTGGTAACGGTAATGGTCGCGCGACGAGCCTGGGACTGAGGTTGGGAACGTGTCGAAGCGTAGGCCCGGAGCGCGGGTTACCAGCCAAGCCGTGAGATCGGGATGCGATGTGCGAAAAATGGCGGGATGATGAATGATGCGATGGTCGCGAGTGGTAACGGTGCTGACTGAGGTGCTACAATGATGTACGCGTTGAGCAGAGATGCGAAGTAAGGAAAAGGGAATTTCCTTACACAGTCGCATAATGTTACACTATATCCTTACACGACTAGTTAAATGCTTTCCTGCTCATTCAGCACCAATTGCCAGCAGATGCATATGCGTGGCAAAGAAAAACTGAATAAAAGCTGGGAACTCCAGGAACTCAATGTGAGCCGCTCTTCCCAGCAGGCGGTTCAAATTACGTTGCTGTTGCGGCAACTCAAAGTTGACGTCACAGCGAATGAATGATCGATCTCCAGACGTCCACGAAGGATGGGAGAGGAATGGCGCAAGGCAGCCTTCAACCATTGATGTGTACACGCCACCGAGACGAGCATCCCTCAGCACCGCACCAAAGACCTCCAGACGGGCGGAATGATATGGCACATACTCGTCCTGAGGTGGCTCGACAGGCGGGCACATAATTGGGGAGGGAGAGGCGATTGAACGAGTGACATGGAGTGTATGGATAAAGTGCAAGCTGGCGTGGCATAAGTCAGGAAGATAACTGATGGTTTGCAGGGCGGCATGAGTTGATGAGAGGGGAGGGAGGGATGCACCTGGGGCGAGGCAAAGAGAACGATGTGCTTGAAGTGGACCCACTCCTGGCGCTGCAGGCATGGTGGAGCAACAAACAGATAGAAAGGGACACACAGACACGGTGGGTTCCGCAAGGAGTGTGAAAAGCCAGGGATTAAGTCAGGGCTGACAGCAGATTGCAAAAGTCACACTGGCACACACATGGATGTCTGTGTGTGATTGCGGAGTCCGCAAGTTGGAAAATTCTCAAGCACACACAAGGCCGGACCGACCTTTGAGTCGACTCAGAAGTAAAAATAACAATAATATCAATTACACACGGCCAGACCGACCTGAGAGAGGCGGTAGATGCAGGAGTCGCGGACGTTGAGCGAATCGGAGAAGGACAGCTGGCGCATGAGGGAGGAGGGGTCGAGGCGCTTGAGCAGCCACATGCCGCCCGTGACGAGGGAGTTGGAGTGGTACATGTAGCCCAGGTGGGGGCCACAGAAGGACAGGTAGAGGTGCAGATAGGGCAGGTACGGCCGCATGCTGTCGTCTGCAGTGGGGAGCAGGGCAGGAGAGAGGGAGTCACGGGATAGAAGATATGTAAAAAAAGGCACAAAATGAAGGCCCTTGGGCAGGGAGTTGATTGAAGGGGCCAGTGGCATGGATATGTGGAGTGTGGCAGGCACACCCCCTCCCCCACCCCAGGCCCCCGTGACGAGGGAGTTGGAGTGGTACAAGTAGCCCAGGTGGGGCCCACAGAAGGAGAGGTAGAGGTGCAGGTAGGGCAGGTAGGGCTGCATGCTGTCGTCTGCAGGGGAGCACGGCATAAGGTTGGGGTTCAAAGGATGGAATGTCTTGGGAGCAAAGAGAAGCCATGCGAATGGCAGGGTCAATTGGGACGAGTGAAGGTGCAGGTAGGTCAGGTGAGGCCTGGGGCCACGGCCCAGGTGGGGCCACAGCCCAGGTGGGGCCACAGCCCAGGTGGGGACCAAAGGGGGACAGGTAGATACGGCAGACATAGCCAGCATCTCACATTCGTAAGAGAAAGTCCGGGGGCTAGATGACCTGCTAGCACCGCCCATTACCTGCTAGCACCGCCCATTACCTGCTAGCACCGCCCATTACCTGCCAGCACCGCCCATTACCTGCCAGCACTTCCCATTACCTGCTAGCACCGCCCATTACCTGCCAGCACTTCCCAATACCTGTCAGTGCTGCCCATTACCTGCCAGTGCCGCCCGCACGACAAGGTTCCCAATGGAGTAGCCCACAAAGGACAGCCGCTGCAACATGTTCTTCCTATTGGGCCGGTCGATCGGCCCAAACATGCTGCGTAACACGGTTACCACCTCGTGAGCCAGGCGAGCGCCCATCGCCTCCACCCCACTCAGGTCGGGGGCGCGGGCGGGCGAGTGCGACGAGGAGGAGGGGGAGGGGGAGTGCGGGGCGGCGGAGTTTGTCTCGTTGCTCTCGGCCATGAGGCACTCAATGTCCGGGTCTAGTAGGCGCCAGCTGTCACGCACGAGCCTTAGGTCCATGCGGTGGCCCTGATAGCCATGCACAAACACCACCACATGCTTCCCCCGTGTCGCCTTCCTGCCACCCTCCCCTCCTGTCGAACCTGCGGCAGATACACCTGGGGATTCTGCACCCCCTGCTGCCGCTGCCGCTGCTGCTGGGCTGAGTGACGGGAGGTGGTTGAGATGGGTGGGGATGGGTGGGCGGTGGGGCGAGGAGAGGCAGAAAGGGATGGAGGCGGGTGGGTAGGAGTGCAGAGAGGAGAGGAGGGAGTCGAGAGAGGTGGAGGTGGTGGGAAGGAGGGAGGGGGACATGGGGAGGGGAGGACTGGGGAAGGTGGATGTGGGATTAGTGGCGTCGATGACAGAAGCAGCAGCAGCAGCAAAGCTGGCAGGTGAAGCAGGAGTGGTGGGAGTGGAGGGAGTAGTGGGAGTGGTGGGGGTGTGGGGCGTGGGTGTGAGAGGAGGTGAGGAGATGGAGGTGAGGGAAAGAGGCAGCAGCGAGTGGCAGAAGAGCAGCGGCTGCATGAGTGGGCGGGAGTAGAGACGCATGTCCTGCAGGCAGGACGGCACACAGAGCAGCGTGCGCTGGGGGACACAGAGGGAAACAGGCAGGGCAGGATGGGGGAAGAAGGGAGGGGGATGAGGGAGAGGTGAGGGGCGGTGTGGGGTTATTGAGAAGGAGTGGGTGCGACTAGAGAAGCATGTCCTGCAGGCACGACGGCACACAGGGCAGTGTGCACTGGGGGGAAGCATAGGGGAACAGGCAGTGCAGGGAAGCAGGGAGGGGCAGAGGAAGAGTGGGAGAGCACAAGGGCATGAATGGGCGAGGAGGCAAAGAGAATAAATATGGTTGAGCAGAGGAAATGAGGAACGGAAGGGGTAGATAGAAGATCATGGCAGTGATGGGGTTACGGCGGCACGAGAAGGGAACAGTACCAGGTTGAGAGTGGTGGTGAGGGTGGGTCGAGGCAGCAGCTGGGGCCGGCAGGGAGGCAGGGCGAGCACGGAGGAGGGCACTGCAGGCATGGCCGCCCGCACCTGGCGGGCCAAGGCTGCTGAGAGGAGCGCCAACTGAGAGGGGTGTGGGGGGAGAGAGGTGTGGCGGAGGGAGGAGGCGGGATTGGGGATGCAGTTATGGCAGCGGTGGGTTGGCAGGGCGAGCACGGAGGAGGGCACTGCAGCCATGGCCGCCCGCACCTGGCGGGCCAAGGCTGCTGAGAGGAGCGCGAGCTGGAGGGGAGTGGGAGAGATGGAATGGGGATGCAGCAGTCAAGTGAGGGCAAGGCCTCACGAGGCCCCTGAAACGTCACTCTGAGGCGGCCCCTGGAAAGCCGTTCTGAGGCGCCTCACAAGCAACTCGCACCTGGGGAGCCAAGGCTGCTGAGAGGAGCGGCAGCTGAGAAGGTGTGAGACGAGAGAGGTGGGTGGGTGGATGCTGGGATAAGACAAGCAGAAGAATAGCAAGCCACTCAAGTCAGTGTCCTCTTGTTGCAGCAGGGAGTGCTTGGCGATAGTGACATTGAGGCAGCAAGCAATCAAGGGAAACCTTTATAGTGGACCTTGATAACTAAGAGAGTCAGAGGCGGAGAAGACAGGCAGACGACAGGTGACTTTCGAGACGTCTCAAAACTCGCGGCAGCAAGCAATCAAGGCAACAAACTCTGAGTGGACCTCGAGAATTATGAGAGTAAGAGATGGAGAAGACAGGCGGACGGCAGGTGACTCACATCGCTCTGCTTGTCTGGCGGCATGAATTGCCTGGCTGTGGTGACATCGGGCCAGCGGTCGAGGCCAAAGAGCTGCTCTGTCTGCATGGGCGAGGAAGACGCATACACCCACGGCGCTGCTTCTCGTGTTTGGTTTGCCACCCACTGCTGCCGCAGCACCGCACACAGCTCCACGTGGCACAGCCTGTTTGGATGGGAGGAGGAGCGTGGACGGGTGGAATGGAGGGGGAACAGGAGCAAGGGCGGAAGGAGAAAGAAGTGGTTCTGTGCAAGTCAGAAACCTGCTAACCTTGCGAGGTGACTTCTGAGTCGACTCACAAGTCACCTTGCTAACCTCTGAGCCGACTGAAGAGGTTCTGTGCAAGTGAGATACCTCTGACCTTGCTAGTGCTTTGGCTTCAGTCCTTAGGAGGGATCGCCAGGAAAGAGGAAGGGACAAAGTGACCGAACACGGTTTCACATGCAAGAAAAACCCTTGTGGTGCATACGTCTTACGCGTGTGCAAAAGCTGCGCATATGTATTACGTGTGTGCAAAAGCTGCACATACGTATTACGCGTGTGCAAAAGCTGCGCATACGTATTACGTGTGTGCAAAAGCTGCGCATACGTATTACGCGTGTGCAAAAGCTGCGCATACGTATTACGCTTGTGCAAAAGCTCATGTGTGAGCCACTCATGTGTATTACGTGCATGCTGAGGAAGGACGTCCAGTAGGCAGTCACGAGACTCCTATTGAAGCAACCAAAAGCAGCAACGGTCAGCAAGTATGCATTGAGGCTTTAGATGTGTGACAACTCGCTTGTGCATGCTGAGGAAGGACGTCCAGTAGGCAGTCACACGAGAGAGTGCTTTTGAGGTGTCTCAAAGATGGATAGACGGTCATTGCTTGTTGTGAGGTGTCTAAGAATTGAACAAATGGTCAGCAGCGTGCTGAGGAAGGACGTGCAGTAGGCAGTCACACAAGAGAGAGAGTGTTTGTGAGGAGTCTCAGAAACGCACAGACGGTCTGCAAGCAGTGGAGTGGAGACTCACTTGTGCATGCTGAGGAAGGACGTCCAGTACGCAGTCACACGAGAGAGTGCTCGTGCTTGCTGAGGAAGGACATGCTGAGAGAATGGTCAGCAGCAGAGACTCACTTGTGCATGCTGAAGAAGGACGTCCAGTACGCAGTCACGAGACCCTTTGCAGCAACCTTCACTGCTTCCACTTCCTCCTCCGTTAAACTCACACTCCCATCAGTCACAGTCACTCCAGTGGTGGTGGTGGTATCCCTCTTCCCTAACTGACTGCCCGTCCCATCCTCTGCACTCAACTCCGCCTTCCCACTTTCCTCCCTGCTTCCACCCCCAGCATCGGTAACCCCATCACCCCCACCATCATCACCGCTCTTTACCGTGCCCGACCCACCACTACTCTGCTCCCCTCCCCCATCACCCCCCACAGCCACACCTTCTCCCTCCCACTCCTGTGCTCTCCCCTTCAATCCATTGTCACCTCCGTTACAGTCATTACCACCCCCTTCACTACTCGCTGCATCCTCTCCACTCCCGCTCGCCCCTCTCTCTGTTGCTGGACCTGGCCCCTCACTTCTGCTCGTCTCCACTCCACCGGATTTCGCCCTTGCCCTGTCAGCATCTGCCCCGTCAGCATTTGCCCTGTCAGCATCTGCCCCGTCAGCATTTGCCCTGTCAGCATCTGCCCCGTCAGCATTTGCCCTGTCAGCATCTGCCCCGTCAGCATCTGCCACGGCAGCACGTTCCCTGTCAGCATCTGGCCTGTCAGCATCTGCTCTGTCGGACTGACCCATCAGCTTGCGCAGTGCACTGGCGAGCACCGGAGAGCAGAGCGACTGGAGAAAGGGGGAAGGAGAAGGGACGAAGGTGGGGAAGAGGAAGGGAGTATTAGGGATGAGAGGAAATAATACCAAGAGAGATTGAGAGAGTGAATAGTTTCTTTTGAGTATGTGCATACCAATAATTTGAGAGAGTATGTGCTGGTGTGGAACAAGATCTTCACCTGTAAATGGTTATGTGACCATGCATGGAATGGAAATCATACACCACCCCCCCACACACACACCCACACGCACCCACACCCACACCCACACACACCTGCTCAGCCATGGCGTCTGGGGGAGGCAGCAGGTGGTGCAGGTTGTATGTGGCAGCGAGCGCAGCGTTGAGCGAGCGCAGGAGGAGAGAGGACTCGAGCAGCAGACACGCCATGGTCGCTGTTGCGGGCTCTGCTAGCTGCAGGGGAGGAAGGAGTGGTGTGTGAAGGGAAGAGAGGGAGTAGAGTGAGTGAACGGAGACAGGACTCCAGCAGCAGACACACCATTGTCGCTGCTGAGGGCTCTGCTAGCTGCAGGGGAGGAAGGAGTGGTGTGTGAAGGGAAGAGAGGGAGTAGAGTGAGTGAACGGAGACAGGACTCCAGCAGCAGACACGCCATTGTCGCTGCTGAGAGCTCTGCTAGCTGCAGGGGAGGAAGGAGTGGTGTGTGAAGGGAAGAGAGGGAGTAGAGTGAGTGAACGGAGACAGGACTCCAGCAGCAGACACACCATTGTCGCTGATGAGGGCTCCGCGAGCTGCAGGGGAGGAAGGAGTGGTGTGTGAAGGGAAGAGAGGGAGTAGAGTGAGTGAACGGAGACAGGACTCCAGCAGCAGACACACCATTGTCGCTGCTGAGGGCTCCGCGAGCTGCAGGGGAGGAAGGAGTGGTGTGTGAAGGGAAGAGAGAGAGTAGAGTGAGTGAACGGAGACAGGACTCCAGCAGCAGACACACCATTGTCGCTGCTGAGGGCTCTGCTAGCTGCATGCAGCAATTAACACAGAGAGCAAAAGGGAGGCGAGAGTGGGTGTGATGGGAACCACTAATCGGAGAGAGGACTCGAGCAGCAGACACGCTATGGTTGTTGTGGAGGGCTCCGCGAGCTGCAGGGGAGGAAGGAGTGGTGTGTGAAGGGAGGAGGGGGAGTGAAGGGAGGAACTAGAGTGAGTGCACGGATAAAGAGGACTCGAGCAGTAGACTCGCCATGGTTCTTGTTGAGGGTTCTGCTAACTGCAGAGAGTGATCAGAAAGAACAGAAGGCAAAACGTTGGGAAGGGGAACGGGGGAGGAAGTGGGTGTGAAGGGAGGGAGCAACTGGAGCAGCAGACATGGCAAGGCAAGGTCCTTGTGAATTAGTCAGCGAGTCAGATCCCCTTTCTTGCATGCTTACTCATAACGTGACAGACACATTCCCTCACTTACTCACACACACACTCACCTTCGCCTTGCCATTCTTCTCCCGCTCCCCTGCTCCAGAACCCTCTCCGCTCCTTCCCCTGCCCGCCCCAGGCGCCTCTCCATCCTTCCCATTGGCCGCACCACCTGTGATTCCAGTTCCCCCTCTGGCCACACCAGCAGCAGCCTCCCCACCTCTGGTGGGAGTGCTCTCAAGCATCTCATCTAGAAATGACTTGTCTGCAACATCCTTACCCACCACGTCACTCTGCTCCCCCTGCGCCACAACAAAGCTACCCTCCGCCTCATAGAACTCCTCCCTGCCCTCCGCATGGCCTCCTGTGTCTGCCCCTGCAGCTCCTTCCCCTGATGCACCTGCCACTGATGCACCTCCCCCTGCTGCACCTGCCCCTGATGCACCTGCCCCTGCTGCTGCCCCTGCTGATATACCAGCTCCTCCTGCTGCTGCAGTTACTGCATCTGCCCCTGCACCTGCAGCTGCAGCAGCGTGGCCTGCAGCTGCACCCTCGTCTGCACTGCCTACACCAGCCAAGTCCTCACCACCACCAGCCCTGGGAGCATGAGCATCAGCAGCAGTCACAGCAGTGGTGCCGGCAGCCTGGGATGTAATGGCAGGGGCGCTGTCATCTTGGGACGTAACGGCAGTGGTGGGCTGCTGGGGGAGCGGTTGTGAGGAGTTGTCAGTGGTGTAGAAGGTGATTGGAGGCAGATCCGCCGGTGGAGGGAGTGTGGCGGGAGGGGGTCTCACTGGACGCACAACCCTGGGGTGCCATGGTGGGGAAAGGTCGTTGGGAGTGGTGGGTGGGAGATATGGAGGAATTGAGGATAGGGAGCAAATGCTTGCGCGGGGAGTGAGGAAGAGGGAGGGGAGAAATAATACATCTAGGAATCTCTAAAACTTGAGTGTCACATGCCGCCAGGGTGTAACACTACTGACCTGGGTCGAGGTGCGGAGTGCAGAGGCGGGTTGGAGAAGTACAGCATGGCAGCATGCACAGTGGCGTCCAGCTGTGCGAAGTGCATGGTGTCGAATGTGACGGGCGTGTACTCGTGCATGTGCTGCCACATAACCATGCTACGTGCTGCCACACACACACACGGCCTGCTACCATATGCCACGTGTGTTTGCCCTTTTCATGTGAGAGTTCCCACTAACCTGGGTTGATGCGTGGCGTGAAGAGATGGGTTGGAGAAGTGCAGCATGGCGGCATGCACCGTGACATCCAGCTGGCCGAAGTGCATGGTGCCGAATGTGACCGGCGTGTACTCATGCACGTGCTGCCACATGCCCATGCTGCCTGCTGCCACAAACACACCCACATGCTCCCTGTTGCTGCCACAAACAGACATGCTGCCTGCTACCATATGCCACTTGTGTTTGCCTTTTGAGGCATCTGAACACTCCAAGAATACACTTCCACTGACCTGGGTCGATGTGCGGAGTGCAGAGGCGGGTTGGAGAAATGCAGCATGGCGGCATGAACAGTGACGTCCAGCTGTGCGAAGTGCATGGTGTCGAATGTGACGGGCGTGTACTCGTGCACGTGGTGCCACATGCCGCCCGGAATGCGCACTATCTGCCGCGCTACAGGGTCTAGGTCGTCGGGTGGGACGTTGCCACGGCCCGCTGTGAAGGGCGCGTGGAGGAGCTCGAAACGCAGCGATACGGGCTCGTCGAATGGCCTCTGGGGGACAGGGGAAGGGGACGAGAAGGGCGCAGAGATGCAAGCACACACAAGTGCATGCAGGCGGGGCCGCGGGAGAAGAGACGCAGACCATGAGAGACATGTTGCACACATGAGAGACATGTTGCACACATGAGAGACATGTTGCACACATCTGAGTTGCGTCCAGGTCATCAGGAGGCACGTTCCCCCGGCCCGCTGTGAAGGGCATGTGGAGGAGAGGAGCTCAAAGGGCAGCGATAGAGGGTTGTCGAATGGTCTCTGGAGGACAGGGACGAGGAACGCAGGGCACACACACGCAAGCACACACAGCGAGAAGAAGGACACGTGCATACCTTTTGGCGCACAGCAGGTCGAAGCAGGCGACCTCCCGAAGCCCCACATCCTGGCGTGTGCGTGCCATGCTCTTTGCCCACCACTGCCCCACACACACCACTGCCCCACACACACCAGTGCAACACATGTGCATTATGCATACCTTCTGGCGCACAGGCACGTGGAAGCAGGCGACCTCTCGTAGCCCCACGCCCTGCCATGTGTGTGTGCACCAGGCGCCTTACTGCCTGTGACGCCTGTGTGAGCATGCCCCACTACCACACACGCACATACCATTGCACCACTCGTACACACCTTGTGGCGCACGGGCAGGTGGAAGCAGGCGACCTCTCGTAGCCCCACGTCCTGGCTTGTATGCACCACGCTCTTTGTTGTCTGTGCTTACTACTGCCCCACCACTGCAGCACTCGCACACACCTTCTGGCGCACGGGCAGGTGGAAGCACGCGACCTCTCTTAGCCCCACGTCCTGGCGGGCGAAGCGGATGCGGAAGTAGCGCGAGTGGTAGCTGCTGTCGCTGTCGTCCACCCGCCATGACGTCAGCGCCTCGCCCTTGTGAGTCTCTGGGACTGGGGTTGAGAGAGGAGGATGAATGAAACGTCAGGGACTGATGGAAATGACGCATCAGGGATTGACGGAATGTTTGATCGAATGTCACTGAAGTGCTATAAACTGAGGGGATTTTCAAACAATGTCAGGGATTGAATTGATGGTAAGTTGTCAGAGATTGGTGGAATATCACGAACATTGTCATGAACTGATGGAATGTCATTGAGATGTCAGGCATTGATGGAATTGCATTGAAATGCCAGGCATTGATGGGATGTCAGTGAATTGTCAGGCATTGATGGGATGTCGTTGAAATGTCAGGGATTGATGTGATGTCAGTGGAATGTCAGGCATTGTTGATGGAATGTCAGGCATTGTTGATGGAATGTCAGTGGAACCTCAGGGATTGATGGGGTGGCTTTGAAATATCAGGCATTGTTGATGGAATGTACAATAAATGATGATGCACTGTCAATCAAGGAGGAAACGGAACACCGCAGAAACTGTAAGCTCACTCGCTGGAAGCATCAGAGGGAAGTTCAAGACGTGTGCTTGCTTCGTGCTCGCGAGGAACGGAAAGCTGACGTGACGGCTCACATGCGTACTGCAGATGTGTTTTGAGTCGACTCAAAACACACCTGAAAGCATCAGAGGGAAGTTCAAGACGTGTGCTTGCTGCGTGCTCGCGAGGAACGGAAAGCTGACGTGACGGCTCACATGCGTACTGCAGAACGCGTGACGGGGACGCCAATCGCCCGGAGCTGTCCCACACGCATTGCACCTTCACGCCGTACCACCTGCGATTGCACGATGCCACGTCAGCACGGACTGAAACCACGGAGATCCAACATACTGATAGACTCGAAACGAAGTCACACAAAAACGACATTCGCGACCAGGGAAGTGGTTACTAGCGTACCCTTGTTTCAGCAGGTCGAGGTTATGAAAATTGTGGAGATACACCGCTACCTCCAGCTCTGGCTGGTTCGCCATTCTTGACCGTTGATTCGCCGTAATCAACGACGTTCCTCAGCAGGTGGTGACTGTAGAGGTTGCGAGAAATTCGCGCAGGGAATCTGGCAGCTCTGGCTAGTTTCTCATTCGGTGTCAGGGCTGGTCCGAAATACAGTACCAGGGTCGAAGACGAATGGTGATTGGTCAAGCGTATGAAGAATGACCCATCGCGAATCACGGCTGTAACTCAGGTGCTTAAGAGGCAAAGATAGTGAGCAGCAAGAAAGTTACAGCGCACATATCGAGCACGAACGAGAGACCTAGCCATAGGCGAACGGAATCTATTTCCACACGAAATCACTCCATTCAGGGATTAGCTCGACAGATTTGGGGAAACAGTGAAGGGAGAGGGTGCTAGCACGTGAATGCACCCAATCCCGAGGTTCTCCCATCCCATCCCAACCTGCTAATGTTGACCTCATTTGGAGCTCGTTCGGCACAGCAATTGCAACGGCACACTTCGTCGGGATTGCATGCTAACTTCAAATATATCTACCTGTTCCCTGAAAAGCATTCCTGCTTAGTTTCATCATATCCGAACTTGCCTTGGGCTCTTGGGCTGTGCACTATTCTTGCATCAACACAGAGCTTCTGAAGAACAAAAATCCATAAAGCCTCTAGAAAATCAAAACTAGCTATCTATGGCTGCATGCTATGTTGGCTTCTCGTACGTGTTGGCATCCATCCAATCACGGCACATCTTCTGCACCATGTCGGCTGCATCCGCTAGAATCAACATGTGAGTGTCGTCTAGAACCTGAGGAATGGCAACAGAGCGAACGGTAACATGAATCAAACGGATACTCATGCCTGCTTCATAAACATGCGGTTCAGATTGAAGTTGGTTGGTTGATATTTCTCAAAAATGAGTCAAACAACGAACAATGAGGGGTATTTGCGGAAGAGCATAGCACCTGAAGAATAAACTTCTCGGCGCCTCCCCGTTTGCTGTCCAGAAAGATGATATACTGCGCCATGGGGATGTCGCTGGTAGAAACGGAGCAAGAGAAAGAGAGGCGGAAAGGGAGGGAGGGCTGGAAGGGGGGAGAGGCGTGAGAGGGGAGCGCCTCCCCTCTTGCTGTCCAGAAAGATGATATACTGCGCCATGGGAATGTCGCTGGTAGAAACGGAGTGAGAGGAAGAGAGGGGGAAGGGGGAGATAGAAAGGGAACGGGAACGGGGAAGGGGGAAGGTGGGGGAGAGAGGTAAGAGGGGGGGAGAGAGGGAGGAGATGGCAGAAGAGAAAAGAGTCGCATGCGCTGAGTCATGCGAGCGTTGTTTGGGAAAGGATAGCTAAAACAGGTCAGAGACAGCAAGGAGGACATGAATGCAAACATCACTCGCACAGCTGCTACCACCAATGTTTGCACATAATCGGTGCCGCTGATACCGAGGCGACAGGCGAAACAAGAGCCATGGATGGAAGAACGGAAGAATGGACGACCTCAAATGGACTGTACTAACCATTCAATCAGCACATTTTAAGTCGCCTAAAAAAGGAAGAACCGACGACCTTAAACAGCGGGTACTAACCATTCGATCAGGACACCCTTCTGCGCGTTCACCATCCTGCGCGCATCACTGTTTACAGCCACTAAAACCTGGCTAAAAGATTCACGTTACAGCGTCGTCGAGCTATTCATGCTATTGCTACAGGCACTCAGCACAGCCGATAATTTTTTTCCTGCATGAATCATAATTCCAGGGCGCGGGGCGTTTCATGAAAATATATAATTTTTAAACACACATGTTTCGTGAGTGTTTTTCAAAATTTCGTATTTCGAAAGCGCAGCTGCTTGTAACACATGTTTTGGCATCGTCGAAGCGCGCTAAACGCCCTTCTCCAACTACAAATCGTGGGTTGGAGCTCATTTCCCTCCACCCACGTCTCTCGTTTTTCCAACGGCTCATACAACTCTAGTTTCTCAAGCTCACTTCTAGATTTACCATTCAAGCTGGCGAGAACTCGCTCGTTGCCTAGAGGTGTTTCCCCTTCAACTTTATTAGCCGACATCCTTAACCAAAACCGCTCAACTATGGCTGCAACGCCGACACTTAACCGTGTCAACAACAACGTCGCCAACGACCCAATTATTTCCGACAACGACAGTGACGCCCGTGAAACGACGGGCGAGCGTCGCAACAAGCGCCGGGCAGACGGCGAAACATCCGGTCCGACCGCCGTGGATGTGCTACTGGGTGGGCTTGAAGTCAACAAAAACGCCGAGCAGCACCCCCAGCACCCTTCGGCGCCAGTGGCACATGTGGCGCCAGTGACACCAGTGGCGCCTGTGGCGAACGTGGCAATACACGCCACTGACGCGGAGCACGCGCCAGCGGCACACGCCTCCGACCGGCCGTCGCGTCAGCGCTAGAGGCGTCGTACGGCCGTTTCGTCCGACGCGACGGCTGACCAAGCCTTGACCGAGGCGTTGACCCCGGACCAAGTCAAGGCCCTCCTGTCCCTGTTACAGCAGCACCGCGCTAGCGCGACCGCCGCCGAAACTACACAACCCGCAGCATCTGCATCGGCTAAAAACTGTCAAAATACTATGCACCTAGGAAACTAGGTTTATGCTTAGGATGCTTAGTTAGGAGTAGGAGCTAGGGTTTAGCCTTAGGCAAAGTAGAAGTCCAAGCAAAAGGAGTGATTCAACTATAGAATGACAAGTACAAATAGAGGAGAAGCATGCAAGAAGTGGTGCACCACCACACATGACAATAATGGGACTACACTACAGCTAGAATTACATGCGCTTATATAGAACATATATCAAATATATTCTGACAAAAACGACATTGCAAAAAAGGAGAAAGGAGCGAAGGACCATCAACGCGCCGCCACGACAAGGAGGCGGTGACCAGTGCTCCTGAAGCCGCAGCGGTCAACAACGACTCCGACGACTCAGACGACGACGCCGGTGAGGCTCCGAACAACGCAACAAAGTTTGCCTCCATGGAAAATCTCCCCCCCCTCCCTTCCCCTAACCCCCACTTTTTCGGTGGCAAACTTTATCGACCCGATCGTGCGAGCGAAAGTGGAGCCCCTGGAGGACGTGAGGGCCTACCTGAAGCACGCGGAGTACAAACTGCAGCGCGGCGATGCGGCGGGCGGACTTGAAATGGTCGCGAGCGCCCTCGACTACATTTCGGAGCGCTACGAAATGCTTCAAGTCGAGGACGCCACCGACGATCGCGTCGCCAAGCGGTTCAAGATGTACCAGCAGAAGAGCCTCCTCACCTCCCGCCCCTTCAAGCAAGCCGTCGCCGACGTGGCAGCAATGGATCGCGCGGAGGGTATGCACGCTCGATCCCACCGCGGCGTAGGACGCGGGCCAATGGCGTTCAACCCCAAGCGTGGCCCGCCTATGGGGAGCTTCCACGGCTTCCGTGGGACGTGCTTCCGCTGTGGCCAACCGGGGCATGTGGCAAGTGGCTGCCCGCGGAATGGCAATGGTGGCCAAGGACCCGCACCCGTGGTATAGGGACGGTCCTTGAGCGTTTGCGCCTTAGCGCACGTGGCACGGTGCACGTCAAGTGCGTTGACCGTGGGCAACCCAAAGGGATTTACGATGGCTATTTGCTAAGCCATAGTTAGGGGTGATGATTAGGCTATAGGCCTAGGAGGCGGGAGAGGGAAGAGAAAGCCCTTTGGTCCCATAAACTGGCCCACGCGGTGCGGGGCGGATGCATGCTAGGAAGCATGGCTAGGTGTGGCCCGTTTCTTATAAGGGCTTTATTTTAAGAAGTACTTTCTGATCTTGGCTTGGATGACCAAAAAAAAAAAAAAAACCCAGAGAACGACGAAATGGCAAGCACCCACACGATCCCGAGCAAATGGCCCCACCACTCGTCGGCATGGGCTGCCTTGGTCTTGGCCACAGGCCAAAGGGCATATCATGACATAAGGAAAAGCAAGAGCAAATGCAAAGAGGGAACGAGAGAGAGACAGCGAGAGAGAGAGAGAGAGAGAGAGAGAGAGAGAGAGAGAGAGAGAGAGGGAGAGAGAGGGAGAAAGAGAGAGAAAAGGAGAGAGAGCGAGAAGGAGAGAGAAGGAGAGAGCAAGGGAGAGGGAGGGAGTGAGAGGGAGTGAGAGAGAGAATGAGAGAGAGAGAAAGGGGAGAGAGAGAGAGAGAGAGAGAGAGAGCGAGAGAGAGAGAGAGAGAGAGAGAGAGAGAGAGAGAGAGATATGAAGGAGGTGAACCGCGTTACGCGGACGCAATGGGTGACAAACGGTGATTATGACTTGTTGATGCGTCTATAGGCACACGTCCATCGCAGGCACATTCCCTTGGGGCACGATGGCTTGCATTCTAACACTTTTCTAGTCCATTGTCACTTGGCAAACATGCAGAGGTAATACGATACGAGGCGCCAGGCAACGGAGATCCATACGAGTTCGCTGTCACTGAAAAATCGGTCATGCAAATGCGCGCGCGGCTTCGCGCAACCCTTGCATGGTGGAGCTCGTGGTGCCCCAGCAGCCTCATCCTCTCTGTCATCGCTAACGGTTACTGGCTGCCATGGAGCCACAACCCACCAGAACCGTTTCACAAGCGCAACCATCTCGAGGCGCACACACACGCTGCGTTCACACGCACTGCCATTCGCAGTAGTCACTCCAGCAGCGGAACTCACATGTATAAGCCCACTTAACGTGATTGAGCAACGAGAAAAATGCAGGCTAATCCTCGACCTCAAGAAAGTGAACGCGCACCTGATCATCCCGAAATTCAAATACGAAGGCCTAAGCCGTGTGGCCGACCTGGCACGCATGGTAGATTGGATGTTCTCTATCGACCTCAAGTCAGGATACCATCATATTGACATACACAACTCTTGCTGGAAATTCCTTGGCTTCGCATTCGAAGGGCGCACGTACTCCTTCCGTTCATTACCCTTCGACCTCGCCACAGCGCCATTTGTCTTCACACAGCTCATCAAGCAACTAGCCAGGCGCTGGCGTGAACAAGGCGTTCGAGTGATACCCTATGTGGACGATATCCTGTTCTTATGCACGTCCAAGGCTCACGCACAAGCAACATGCCAACAGATAATTTCGGACCTTAAGATGGCGGGCTTGGTGATTAACACGAAAAAATTGCACCTTTTACCATCACAACATCTGCGATTCTTGGGCGTCGAGCTGGACACCAAATCCGGACATTTCTCCATCGGCGCCGATCGACGGGCGTCACTACACGCACATATTCGGAGCCTACTGGGCGCAAGCAAAGCGCGCCGACACGTTCCAGTCCGCCACCTGGCCAGAGTCACCGGCACACTCGCATCGATGGCCGTCGCACTCGGCGACACGACTCGTGCATTCAGCCACGCCATGCTACAAGCAATAAACGATGCGCCATCCTGGGGAAGCAGCTTGAGCATTTCCCCACCTGTTGCTGAAGCGTTGCAGTTCTGGCTTGAAGAGTTTGACAAATTCAATGGCGCACCATTCCACGTCCGGAACAGTTACGACGCGGTAATTCACGTGGACGCGAGCTCCTATAGTTGGGGTGCCACACTGCTCACCTTCCCTGGTGAACTCGAGGAAGCAAGCGCAGCCATGCCGGAACCACTGCACATAACGTCCAGCACGCAGAGGGAAATTGAAGGCGTCCTTTGGGCCCTTTGAACGTACGCGAACAAGGTTCAGCACAAGCACGTGCTCGTGAGGGTGGACAACCAAGGGGTCTTTTTCATCCTTCGCAAAGGCGGCTCTCGCACCCCTGACCTCACCACCGCTTGCAAGGACATCATCCGCACATGCATGGAGCTCGACACTCGATTAATTGTCGAATGGATCCCGCGCGAGCTAAACTCCCATGCCGATGAGCTGTCCAAGATGATCGACCATGACGACTACTGTTTGAAACAACCATGGTTCCGCATCCTCAATCGCCACTGGGGACCTCACTCAATAGACCTCTTCGCGAGCCCAAACAACTCGCAGCTGCCACGTTTTTGCTCAAAGATACCACATCCCGGGGCCACTACGATTAACGCATTCTCGATTTCGTGGTTGACCGAGAATGGCTTCGCGTTCCCGCCACCCCAGTTAGTCCCAACAGTCATCCACCACGCACAACGCACCCACGCATCAATCACCCTCGTTGTCCCACACTGGACAGGGGCAACCTGGTGGCCGCTCCTACAACCCTCCCCACCTAGCTGGGCCCCGCACATCCAAGCGGACATTCCCCTGACGCACGGCAGCCAATGTTTAGCAGTAGGAACGCACCGCACCGCTTTCTCAGGCACAGGATTGCCTCATAGTACAATCATCGCATTACGAGTGGTCTTCAACTAACACATCTCGTCCTCATTCGCGCAGACGTACTGCCAAAACTACAAGGCCAACTTCTAAAGATGCTCTCGCAGTCTCGCGCCGACTCAACGATCCAAACATACAAGCCATACTGGGTCAAGTTTCGAGCCTTCTGTGCAAAGGTGAACCTCCCATTCCTCCCTGCGGCGGACATGACCCTCGCACTGTACTTGGTGTACGCCATCAAACGCAAAGCCACCCTATCTATGGTACAACTTACATGCTCAGCCGTGAGCTTCGCCCAGCGCATGCCCAACGGTAGGACCATTCACCACTCAAGTACGCGACTTCGCAAAAAGGCATTGTCCTCGCACCACGAGAGTGAAGGAGCGCGTCTCGCTGCAACAAGTTCGTGACATGTCTGCTGGATACCTGCAATCTGACAACCCTGGGGAATTCCAGCAAAGGAGATGTACGTCACGCCTAACGCTGAACATCTCGTCAACGCCTCCCGCCAGTTGCAGGACCTGAATCACGCCCCGTCTCCAGCACAGCACGCAGCGGCACTCATCCGTCATCGAAAACCCGTGCTACCCATGTCTCAGGGACCCAAGTTGAAATGAGAACGATGCCAAATCATAAGTAAGAGAAAGCAAGCTTTCTAAATATTATAATTTTTAAACACACGAAGTGTTTTTCAAAATTTCGTATTTCAAAAGCGCAACTGCTTGTAACACATGTTTTGGCATCGTCGAAGCGCGCTAAACGCCCTTCCCCAACTACAAATCGTGGGTTGGAGCTCATTTCCCTCCACCCACGTCTCTCATTTTTCCAACGGCTCATACAGCTCTCCCACCCCCCGCCCCAACATCGATGAACATCACGGACGCTGTTTGAACACGAAGATCGATAGCCAGTAGCATAATAGATAGCGAGTATAATGATTAATAGCTAGTACAATGATTGATACGTAGTATAATATGTACTAGCACTTCTGTTTCCTAGCTTGAGATGCATGTTGTAATGAGAACTGTTGAAATGAGAACGATGCCCAGTTGAAATGAGAACGATGCCAAATCATAAGTAAGAGAAAGCAAGCTTTCTAAATCGGTGGAATGAACTCATGTGTATTGTCGTACACGCTATTGAGTGACCGTGTAAGTCGCTAAGAATAAGGAGCTTACTAGATGCATTCCACTTGGCCAATGTTTATATCATTTGAGGCTTGCATAGTATATTCAGTAATACGTACTGATTTCACAGCTGATCAAACACAGCACATGAATCTCTCTGCACAGATCCATCAAGACTGGGAGTGCGTTGTGCTGGCAGACGACGGCCTGCGGTCAAAATTGAGCGACGCCTTATCAAAGATGTATCCGAACGTCCAATCATACGATGCCACGTCGACACAGGAAGCTAGCGTGGGGTTCCTCCGCATGGCAAGCTTCCGTGCCATGGTGATCCGTGCAGGCAAGGGCAGCTGGTTGAGAGCCCACTCCAAGAGACCAGCATCTGAATCTGCAAAGTCAGAGGCGTGCCTGGAGGGAAACGAGAGGGTACCGTAGATTGAGCAGATGGGAACACGGAAAGCTTTCTGGGGCGCCTTAAGTATGATGCAGGCAGGCGCAGGGAGCAGCCCATTCCAAGATGCCAGAATTCAAGGCTGCAAAGTCAGACGAGTGCCTTGATGGAGAGAGGGGGTAGATTGACAGGGAAAGGGAAAGCGACTTTCAAGGCATGTGAAGAACCTCTGCAGGCAAAAAGACCTCCAAGGCACCATCAGTACCGGCACCAGCAGCAGCACCAGCAGCAGGATCAGCCATCTCACTGACCATTTGAGGAGGCGGGGGAGGCAGACACGGTTATCAGCAGTCATGCCAATGCAGCTGGCGAGATAGAGGTCTCTGGCATGCTCCAGCTGCGAGTGCAGGGAGTGCGGCAGGTAGGCGCGCAGCACAGCACCAGCACCCGAAGCAACACCACACACACCAACACCAGCACCAGCACCAATACCAGCACCAGCAGCAGTACCGGAATGAGTGGAATTACAGCATCACTCACCATTTTAAGAGGCGGGGGAGGCACACGCGGTTGTCAGCAGTCATGCCGATGCAGCTGGCGAGGTAGAGGTCTCTGGCGTGCTCCAGCTGCGAGAGCAGGGAGTGCGGCAGGTAGGCGCGCAGCACAGGCGCGCTGAGGGATCCCGGCGACAGAGCAAACGACACCAGCGGCTCCGTCTCCCCCACCACCCACTGCTGCCTCGGATCATCTGCTGGGAAGGGCGTGGCGTTCAGTGCCTTGGCCTGGGAGACGGGAGGGGGGAGGCAGGAGTGGGACACATGGGGAAGACAAGGGTCGCAGGTGGGTGGGAAGAGGACATGAGGGTGAATGGGAGGAAGAGAAGAGAGGCAATACAAGCGGGGAAGTGCAGGGAGTGCGGCAGGTAGGCTCGCAGCACAGGCGCGCTCAGAGATCAGCGGCAGAGATGGGCAACAGAGATGGGCAACAGAGCAAACGCCACCAGCGGCTCCGCCTCCCCCACCACCCACTGCTGCCTCGGATCATCTGCTGGGAAGGGCGTGGCGTTCAGTGCCTTGGCCTGAGAGATGGGACGGGGGAGTCGGGAGGGAGACCTGGGGGGAGCCAGGAGTGGCAAGGGGAGGGGGACACATGCGAAAACCCTAAACCCTGTCAATGAAAAGATTTGGATTTGCGCACCTTGGCCTGGGAGACGGGAGGGGGGAGGCAGGAGGGAGACGTGGGGGGGGGGGGCAGGAGTGGCAAGGGGAGAGGGACACGCGCGAAAACACTTAACCCTGTCAATGAAGAGGCTTGGATTTTCGCACCTACGCCTGGGACATGGCGGGGGGAAAGGCAGGAGAAACACAGGGGAGAAATGCGCAGAGCTTCTGAGACATGTTGAATGTCTCCAGGCTCAGCACCCCCTGCTGAATCTGGTCGCTTTCAAGAAAGGGTGTGCGTTCAGTGCTTTGGCCTGGGACGAGAGGGGAGAGGCGGAGGGGACCGAGCAGCTGAGGCGAGGGCGGAAGCAAGGGCTTGCACTCGCAGATATGGGAGCATGTGGAACTGGGGAGAAGGAGGAAGAGAGCCAAAGAAGAGCGCGGGATATTGCACTGTAAGTCGGTAGGACAGTGGCACCCAGAAGTACTCACCAAGGCGAGGGCCTGGCAGCAGGAGCTCTTAGAATAGCGAATTCGATGTCGGTGGTTGTCTGCCACTGCATGGCCCTTGAGTCCACTTGTGGTTGCTGTGTGGGTGGGGCAGTGGTATGAGCTGAGCAGTACTTACCAGAGGAGAGGGCCTAGCAGCCGGCGCTCTGAGAATGGCAAACTCAATGTCGGTGGCTGTGACTGTATGGCCCCCAATGCTGTATGCCGCCTGGCGTGTGGAGGATAGGGACGGGTGTGTTGAAGGGGACAAGGTGAGGTGAGGTGAAGTGCGGTGGGGTGAAGTGCAGTGGATTGAAGTGAAATGAAGTGGGAAGGACTGCAGAGGTGGAAAGTACAGGAGCAAGGTACTGAGTGGTTGGGCACTGCAGCTTATGAAGAAAGAGATCCACCATGTACATTGCCAGATCTACTCATCAGGAGTAAGGACTCACAGTTTGCAGGTGTTTTTCTGAGAGCTTTCAAAAAAACACCTGCAGTGCCAAAACTGCTCATCGGGAAAAGGACTCACGGTCTGCAGCAGGGCAATGCGGCGCAGGTGAGTGTCGGGACAGCCGTTGGTGATGTACGTCTGATCAAGGATGGGATGGGAGAGGGGGTAAAAGGGGACGGAACCAGACAGGGTGTAAGGATGAAGGGTGCAGAACATGGCATGTTTCAAGAAGGTAGGCTTGAGAACTCTTTAGACTGACTCATTTTATACCGAGAGCAGGAGTGCAACATACCGAGAGCAGGAGTGCAACATACCGAGAGCAGGAGTGCAACATACCGAGAGCAAGAGTGCAACATACCGAGAGCAGGAGTGCAACATACCGAGAGCAAGAGTGCAACATACGGAGAGCAAGAGTGCAACATACGGAGAGCAAGAGTGCAACATACCGAGAGCAAGAGTGCAACATACCGAGAGCAAGAGTGCAACATACCGAGAGCAAGAGTGCAACATACCGAGAGCAAGAGTGCAACATACCGAGAGCAAGAGTGCAACATACCGAGAGCAAGAGTGCAACATACCGAGAGCAAGAGTGCAACATACCGAGAGCAAGAGTGCAACATACCGAGAGCAAGAGTGCAACATACCGAGAGCAGGAGTGCAACATACCGAGAGCAGGAGTGCAACATACCGAGAGCAAGAGTGCAACATACGGAGAGCAAGAGTGCAACATACGGAGAGCAGGAGTGCAACATACCGAGAGCAAGAGTGCAACATATGGAGAGCAAGAGTGCAACATACAGAGAGCAGGAGTGCAACATACCGAGAGCAAGAGTGCAACATACCGAGAGCAGGAGTGCATTGTACACGTTGATCCAGAAGACGAGCCTCTCTGTGTGTGAGAGAGTGGCGGGGTCGACCAGCCGCAGCTGATCCACATAGTGCCTGATGCAGGTGTGGGGGGGAATGGGAGAAGAAGGGGGTGTGTGTTTTGGTTCAATTCGAGCCTCTCCGTGTGTGAGAGAGAGGCGGGGTCTACGAGACGCAACTGGTCAGCGTAGTGCCCGATGCAGGAACAGGGCAGAAAACAGGAGAGAACAGGAGATAACAGGAGATAACAGGGAAAAAGGAAGCTTGAAGGTGAGACTAGTGGGACAGGTTAAAAGGTCAGCTTGATACCGGGAGAGCTTTGTCATAGATTTGGCTATATTGGCCATATCGTACCGGTGTCTCTTGAGTGCTGCCACGTCAGCATGCACATATGCGCCTTCCCCAGGTACAGCCTCCACCACCACGAGCTCCCACCCTGCTCCTGATGCCCCCTCCCCTCCCCTCCCACTTCCTCCCATCTCCGCCCTCCCACTCCCCATCCCTGGCCCCATTCCCCCTTCCGCCAGCACCATTCCCCCCTCTCCTTCTCCCCCTCCGCCTCCCTCTGCTCCTCCCCCTGCCCCTCCCCCAGCTCCCCCCCAGGATCCTCTCCAAGCCTCTGCTCCATCCGAGCCTGAGGTTAGGACCCGCCGCCGGGGCCGGGGGGCAGCTTCGGCAGCGGCTGCAGCGGCAGCGAGGGCGGCAGCGGTGGTGGCAGCTGCAGCAGCAGTGGTGGCGGGGTAAAGACGGGTGTTGATGGGTGGGTGAGAGGGCTGGCTATCCCCTTCTCCTGCCGCTCCTCCTACCGCTCCTCCTCCCACTGCTGCTCCTCTCCCCCTTCCACCACCACTGTTGCCACTGCCACCACCACCACCACCACCACCACCACCACCACCACCACTGCTGCCGCCAACACGCTTGGGGCCCAAGGGGGAGAAGGAGGGTGACGCAGCCGAGGGGGAGAAAGAAGGAGCACCACCTTCAGAGGGCGAAAGGCAGGAGGCGGCAAGGGGAGTAGGGCTCCTGGGGGGTCGGCCAGAGTTCGCGCCTTCAGAAGGGGAGAAGCAAGAAGCGGCATGAGGGGTGGGGCTCTTGGGTGGGCGGCCAGAGTAAGCGCCCTCAGAGGGGCTTTTGGGGAGGAGCAGCCGCGTGAGGATGGGGTTAGCTACGGTTGAGCCGCCCGGGTAGGCTGTGCCGTTTGGGTTGGATGAGGTAGAGCTGGTCCGGGCAAATGGCTTGGTAGAAGCGGTTGGGTTTAACAGATTGTTAGGGGTGGACTCAGGTGGGAACTGCTTCTGCTGCTGCTGCTGCTGTGTGGACTCGTAGAGAGGGTGGAGAGGCAGAGAGGCGCCTACATCCAGTGGCGCCAATGGATGCTGTCTGACCGAGGGATTCTTTTTGGACGCTCTGGGATAGAGCGGCCCCGATTGGGACTTCCGAGGACGAGAGGGCTCAGGAGGAGAGGACTGAGAGGGCTGGGAGGGATATGAGGATTGAGAGGGCTGAGAGGGGTGAGAAGGCTGAGAGGGATATGAGGATTGAGAGAACTGGGGGCGGGAGGGGCCAGAATGAAAGGTGTGGGAGCGGGGAAAGTCAATGCCGGAGAGAGGCAGATGTGTTTGGAGAGCGTTGCTGGCAGGCAGGAGAGAATCAGTGCCCTCCCCGCCCCTCCATCCCCTGCTGTACGCACCACCCATGCGCCCTGCACCAGCAGGCATACCGGGAAACTTACCAGGGGCGGGTGTTGACGGGTGCACCGAGGAGGAGAGGCGCGCTGAAGGGGGGTGCAAGGGTGGCAGGTGCAGGGGAGGCGGGTACCTGCCTGGGACTCCGTCAGGTGCTGCTGCTGCTGCGAGCTTCCAGGTGCTGCTGATGGCACTCAGCTCAGCAGTGCTGCTGCTCTGTGCACGCTGCATCATCCTGCCTCCTCCTCTTCCACCTCCCCTCCCAGCACTGGTGCCAGGAAGACTGCTGCCCCCACCACCACCACCAGCAACAGCAGCAGAACCGCCGCTACTATCAGCAGCAGCAGCAGCAGCAGCAGTGCCGTGTCCGCTGCCCATTCTTGCTCCTCGCCCTGCCATGGCACCCACCAACGGAGCCCTCCCTCCCTGCACCATCATCTGCCCTCTCCCTTGTTCCTTCCCCAGTCCCTGCTGCTGCTTCTGGTGCTCCTGAAACGCAATAGAGGACGTCTCTAGCGCGGACTGAGAGTGCGGAATCAGCATCCTTCCATTCACGACCTTCACACCACCAACACCACTCCCACGGCTAATCCCACCGTCCCTCTTGCCACCACTCCCACCGCCACTCCCATTGTCGCTGTTGCCTCCCAGACTGTCAGAGTCTGAACCCTGGCTCCTCTCCTGGCTCCTCTCCTGGCTCCTCTCCTGGCTCCTCTCCTGGCTCCTCTCCTGGCTCCTCTCCTGGCTCCTCTCCTGGCTCCTCTCCTGGCTCCTCTCCTGGCTCCTCTCCTGGCTCCTCTCCTGGCTCCTCTCCTGGCTCCTCTCCTGGCTCCTCTCCTGGTTCCTCTCCTGGTTCCTCTCCTGGTTCCTCTCCTGGTTCCTCTCCTGGTTCCTCTCCTGGTTCCTCTCTGGGTTTCTCTCCTCAAGGGTGTCACCACACTGGGAGCTGCTGTCTGCTCGTCTGAGCACCCTCCGCTGGCTCAGCTGCTTCGGAGGCAGCTGCAGCGGCTTCCCTGGGCTGCGCTGCTCCAGCTGCTTCTCATTCTCCCGCTGCTTCTGCTCCCGCTGTTGTTGCTGCTGCTGCTGCTGCTGCTGCTCCTGCACCTGCTGTTCTTGCTGCTGCTGTTGCAGTTTCAACTCTCCTGCCATCTCAACCAGACCCGCACCGTTCACTGATCTCGCCACTTCTTTCGCCTCGCCCACATCGCCAGCAGGGGCGAACGGGGAGGCGAGGGGGGAGATGGAGTCAGAGTCAGACAGCAGTGAGGCAGTGTCCAGAGGGGTCACAGCAGGTGGGCGCTGCAGGGAGGAGGGCGTTGCAGGGGTTGGCTTCACAATGGAAGAGGAGGGGTTGCAGAGGTTCTGGTGCCGTGGGCTGATTTCAGGGGAATTACCCGCTGAAAGACACTCATGCACCGATTCTACCCCCGACTTCACACCACAAGTGTCTAAAACTCCCTCACCTCCACCGCCTTCCGCCTCGCCTGCTGCTGCTGCTGCTGCCCTTTCTTGCCCCTTCTCCCTGCCCCGCGTTCCTCCCTGGAACAGCCTCAGCAACCCACCCCGTACACCCTCCCTAGCAGCATCTCCGTTATGAGAGCCTACAGACATTGACAGGGGAAATCTGGCTTTGGCTTTAAGATGAGGAGAGGACGGATTCGATTCCTTCGGCTCATCTCGTTGCCCTCTTACCCTGCTTCCTTCTCTTGCTCCTGCCTTTCCCCTCCCTCCTGTCCCTCCTGCATCATCTCGCTCCCCTGCTCCTTCCCCTGCTTCCCCTTCGCCATCCCCTCTCGGCTTCCTACCCAGGGACGACTTGTGAGGGGGGCGGGAGTGAGGGAGGGGCAGGGGGAGAGCAAGAGAGGACCAGGCGGAAGAAGAAGAAGAGGAAGAGGTGGTAGATGAGGGGGGCAGGCGAGGCGAGAGGGAGGAGGACACAGAGGTCGATGTAGACTCGCTGGCAGAGAAAGCAGCAGCAACCACGTCCCAAGGATTCTCGTTTTTGACTGAGATCGCCAGCAGCTCAAGAGATCTCGGGTCGAGAATACGTGCCACGTCCTCTCCCCCACCCCCGCCCCCACCCGCACTCCCTCCCCCTCCGCCTCCTCTTCCCCCGCGCCTGCTGCCGCTGACGCTGCTGCTCCTGCTACTGCTCTTCACAAGCCTACTCCCCTGCATGCTCCCTCTCCTCCCTGCTACATCCCCTCCAAACCCTAAAACTGATCCATTCAACCCGGAGCCTGGCCCGGGCGGCATTTGTTGGCTGCGTCTGGCACTGAGCGCACTGTTCACGGAGCCCTGGCGAGGGAAGGCGGCAGCCATATCTGCCATCACCCCAAGCCCCCCACTCAATCCTCCCAAACTCCCTCCCAGACCTCCTAGCCCCCCTAGACTTCGCCTCCAGCTGCTTCTCCTCTCCCCTCCCTGCTCCGACGCCTGCCGAAACAGCTTCGGACTGGCCGCCTGCTGGGCTTTCTCCTGAGGATTCCCCTGCTCCCCTTCAGCACTTATCTCCCATTGCTGAGGTTTGACTGCTGTAGAGTCTTGGAGGGCCATGCAGCCTGGGGGTTGATCAGGGCTGAAAGCCTCTTCTCCTTCGGACGTGCTGCTGCTGTTAGGAGCCCTCGCCACATCCTCCGACCCAGCCGCATCACCAGCTGGTCCACCACCGGTATTGTTAGCGCCAGTAGCAGTGAAGGCAGGAGGAGGGCCAGCGCCGCCAGAGTCCTGAGTAGCGGGATCTAAGGCAGGGGCGCGGGATTTGAGCCCCTGGTGCAGGCCTGAGACGTTCACGCCCCTCTCATCCCAGAAGGCGGGAGGCAGCGGCACGTGCGTGCCGTGCCTCATGTATACAGACGCCACGGTGCGAAGCAGAGCCACTGAGAGGTCACAGGGACGCGAGGAGAGGTCCTTCACTGGAATGCCACCCGCTGCTCCTGCTGCCCCTACTGCTGCTCCTGCTCCTGTTGCCCCTACTGCTGCCCCTGCTCCTGTTGCTGCTGCAGTGTTGCTGGTTGACAAGTCGCCTGCAGCAGAGGAGTGCTCTGTGTGGTTCCGGCCTCTGGGCGTCCTTTCCTCCTCGTCTGCAGGGGAGTCGAGGGAGGAGGGCGCTGGGACAGTCTCAGAACGAGGAAACGCGGGCGAGCGAGCGGGAGCAGGGGAACAGCCAGAAGCAGGAGAGCGGGCAGAAGCAGGAGAGAAGGCAGAAGCAGGAGAGAAGACAGAAGCAGGCCCGAACCCACCGCTTTCTCCTCCCTCAGTCCCCTGCTTTTCTTCCACTCCACTGATGCTCTCCCCTTCCGCTTTTCCTCCACTAGCATCCCTTCCTCCCACACTCGCAGCCGCAAAGTCCAGTGAGCCCTGCCTCTCTGGAGACTCCACGACAGGGCCATGCCCCCCGTGCTGAGACTCTGCTGCCCCTGCTGGCCCTGCTGGCCCTGCTGGCCCTCCTAACCCGCCCGCCCCTGCTGTCCCATGTGCAGGTGGGGAGTCCAGGAAGTCACGGAAGCTTCCAGTGGCCGCTCGTTGCCGAGAGGGGGAAGGGGAACAGGGCGCACCACTCGCAGTCTCCGCTTCGTCACCTGCCTCTGCTTCTCCCTCTGTGTCTGCATCTGATTGTGCCCCTGCTTCCCCTCCTGCATCACTGTCTGCTGCCGTTTCTTCTGCTCCTGCTATGGATTCATCTTCTGCGCCTTCTCCACCCGTGTCTGCCCCTCCTGCACCAGCTACCACAACCGCGCCTGCCCCCATTGTCTGCGCTGCTTCTGTTGCCTTTCTCCCCGGTGATACAATGGCTTCTATGACTGCCACACCATCTGCTGCCTCGTCCGCAGCAACGTCTGCTGCTCGCCCCACTGCACTTTCTGCCACTTCGGTTTCGAAACCTTCTGCTGCCTCCTCTGCCTTTGCCTTTGCATGCGTCGTTTCTGCCCCAGCTGTTTCACCACCACCGCCCCCCACACCCTCAGCAGCAACAGCCTGATCTGTTTCATCAGCAGCCCAACCATTCAGTAACACCCCGTTACAATCACCTTCGATTCCAGGCCCCTGTTCTGTGTCACTGCAAGCAACTTCTTCTCTGCCTTCATTCATATCCCTATCCTTGCTCCCCTCTCTCTCTCCACCTCCCTCCTTGCTTTCCCCTCTCTCTCTGCCTCCATTCACATCCCTATCCCCAACCCCCTCTCCCTCTCCACCTCCCTCCTTGCTTTCCCCTCTCTCTCTGCCTCCATTCACATCCCTATCCCCAACCCCCTCTCCCTCTCCACCTCCCTCCTTGCTTTTCCCTCTCTCGCTGCCTCCATCCACTCCCTTCCCTCCACCTCTCTGTTTTCGCTCATCCACGTCTGAGTATCCATTCTGAACCGACTCCACGCTTGCAGCTCTCACCACAACATCATATCCAGGCGACCCCCTCCCGACCGGCCCCAGCGGCTGCTGCGTTCCCCAGCGCTCAGACTCCCCTCTGCCAGCCCCATCCACCTGCTGAGTCCACCCTCCTTCTTCCAGCGCGTTAAGCTTGCATGCCTGTTCGCTCGGCCCAGCCACTTGGCCCCTCGCCTCAGCTACCTGCCCACTCCGCCCGTCTTCTTGCCTTGTCTGATTCTCTCCGTGGCCACCCAGCTTGCCTGCCTGCTGGGTCAGCTCATCTGCACCACCATTCGCCTCACCCAAACTACCATTCAGCCCATCCACCCTGCCGGCCAATACAGCATTTGCCACCTCTTCAGCTACAAAAGCTGCTGATTCCCTTCCTGCTGTGACCACTGCTGATTCCTCTCCAGCTGCAGCAGCAGCAGCTGTATACTCCACAACCATAGCTCCCGCTACTCCTGCTGCTTCGCTGTTTTTCACTTTGCCGCTTTTTCCCTCTTTAGTTTTCCTGCTCGATTTCACCTCCTTCTGTCCGGCATTCACTCGTTTACGCGCCTTCTCCGCCCCGCTGCCTCTCTTCCCTTCATGCTTCTTCTCTTCATGTCCATTCTCTTCATGCGTCTTCTCTCCCTGCTTCTTCGCTTTTTGCTTCCTCTCAACCGATTTCTCCTGAATCTGAATCTCCCCCCATTCCGCTCCTTTCTCCTCATTGAAACCATCAATGAAGAACCCGTTGCTGTTGCATTTATCCTCGCTATAGAGTACCCCATTTCCCGCGGGCTGGTCAATCGTGATGACAGGAACCTCTCTGGAAGTCTGTGTATCAGGAAGATTGTTGGTGAACACTTGCATGCTGAGTCGGCGTGCTCTGCAGTGTGGTGGGAAGTGAAGGGACAGAACAGGGGGGCATGCGCTGAGAGAGAACATTACCCATGCAAGAAGAACAAGACTTTAACATTAAAATGGAGCAATGATGTCTGTAACGAAGCGTTTTGTAACGAGGCTGTTTGTGATGGAGCTATCTGCACACTCACAGCTGATTCGTCAGCACATTCAGTCGTTGCTGCAGCTGCAGCAACAGCTGCAATTGCTCTGTCTCCCCTTCCCCAACCTTCTCCACCTCCCGAACATCTGCCCGACTCTCTGCTTCCGGCCCTTCTTCCCCTGTAATTACTCTTTCTCCCGCGATCCCACCCCTCTCAACCGCATCCAGCTGCACAGAACCAGCTCCTGAACTTTCAGGATCCACCCTTCCTTGCTGCGCGAGTCGCTGCAAGGCCTGTAATTCTCCAGCCACCCACGCCACATGAGCGCGGACACTAGCACCACCACCACCATCAACAGAACCAACACCAGCACCATGCCCAACACCACCACCAACAGCACCACCACCGCCTTGCACTGCGCTGCAGGGCCAGTCATCGTTCGCTCTGAAACCGCCCCCTTTGTTGTCCCCATCCACGCTCTCCACCTTTCGCTTCACGGACCGCCGCCAAGAGCCCTCCGCATGCAGCTCCTGAAGTACCAGCACCTGCTGCTCCTGCTGCAGTAATTGCTGCTGCTGCAGTAATGGCTGCTGCTGCTGCTGCTTCTGGGGCAGCTGATCTCGGTTCTGGCGGATAGACGACGAGGCAAGACCAGTAACTGAGGTAGAGGAGGAGGGCAAAGGGGGTTCGGCTAGTTGCGACGGAGTGACAGGAGCGAGCAGCCTTCGCTCGTCCGAAGGAACCTTAGGAACCGCAGCGTCAGAGGCAGCCAGAGCCTGGCGTTCGGGAGGAGGAACCTGAAGATCCTCGGCCTCAGCGCCAGAGGCAGTCAGTGCCTGTCGCTCGTCAGGCCCTGCTGGTGGGCCCGCACGACCAGATTCAGACAATGTGGTGGTGGACTGTAGAGTCGCAGATTCTCTGCATCTGGACACATGCGAAGAGCGTACTGTCCTGCTCTTTTCTTTGCTAGGTAGAGACGACATGCCACTAGCCGACGCGCCCTTGTTCCTATTTGAAGACTTCAGGCCGCCCCGTGCGCCCGAGTTCCGCTTCTCGTCATTAGTCACTGCCGCGTGGTAGGTGTTTTCGCCTAGTGTAAACGACGGGTCATCATTGGAGCGCGCTCTAGGAACATGGTCACCAGAAGAGTGTGACAACCTCCGAGAGCGAGCTGCAGACTTTTGAGTCGACTCAGAAGTCACCTCGCTTGGTGTAGACGACGGGTCATCACTGGAGCGTGTTCTTGGTACATGGTCACCAGAAGAGTGTAACAATCTCCGGGAGCGAGCTCCAGATCCTGGTAACCGATTACTAGACAACTTCGAGCTTTCGTTGGAAGGAGCTGCTGGTTGCTCGGGAGAGCTCAGACGCGCTCGGAGTGAATGTTGCAGTGACTTAGTTGGTGTTTTGCGTGAATCAGCTGTGGGACCGGGTGAGTCGGCGTGTATCGAGCTGTTGTCCTCGGGAACTCCGCGATCAGAGTGACCCGAATGCTGGATGTCACGCCATGGTTTGTGATGGCTGGAGGAAGTGACTGATGGCGATTTGGTCTTCTTTTTGGCAGACTTCCTGAAAAAAAACGAAATGGAGGTCCGTGAAACGCAGGAGGAAGAAATCGCTTTCTTAAAAGAACGCATGGACGTGACAAGCACGCTGGAAACCTCGTCGATGTCTAGCGGTAAGCACGTTCCAAGAGCCGAATTAACTAGAAAGACAGACACGGGACGTGGCGCCATCAATGCGACCGCATGAGCGCCACGCTGCGACAACAATGCGACGATAAGAACGCTGACGACATAAAACGCGACAACACGACGAACTGACAATGTGATACAGACGAGTCAGAAACTAACAGACCTCTGCTTGGTTTCGCCGGCCTGGAGCTCCATGGCAACTGGAGCGACACCGTCCATTGTATACCTCGCTGTCGAAGCTATTGTGAACCTCTGACGATCTGGTTTAAATTATTGAAAACATAGCAGGGCTTACTGCTTGTTTTTGCTGCGATGTTTCATAATCTGTACCTGACTCATCGTTTTCACACAAAAAAAGCGTGCACGTTTTGATGCGCAACGCTATGACTCGAAGTAGGTCCGTTCAGCGACATAAGGCTCCTTTCTGTAACTCTCTTAGTGGTTAACGACCGACTAGCGAGAAAACATATGTACAAGGAGAACACGGCTCGAACCAATGCATAAGATGTTCCCTACGAAGACCTACCACGCGAAACCTATCAGATTTATCCAGAAATAAATTGAACTGGCAAAAAGGCCAGACAGGCAGGAAGAAGGCAGGATAGCTAGCGAAATGACAGTCAGAGATTGACCGACATATCTCCTCCCCTTCCTTCCTCAACTGAGCTGAGCCGAGGCATCTCCGAGGAGAGGACTGCCCATGGAAAAATTCCTTGACACTCGAGAATTTCGGCTGCTCGAAGTTCTCTAGGTTTTGTGTTGTCAGGGACGTGATTGGTGGGCTGGGGAACCTCGGAAACTCTTGATTTGCTCAACTCTTGGTGCCAGGGGAGGGGAGACTTTCGCGCGGGTCGGAGGGACTCGGCAGAAAGCTTATCTGTGGGCGGGTTTCGTTGCAGGGAAAAGATCGAGGGGCCGAACAGTGCCAGAGGGGTGATCGACCAGGGGCCAAGAGGCCCGGAACTTCCCAAACCGCTGCGCATAGAGGGATTAACATAGGGTCTTCCTTTATTGCACGTAGTTATGTTATTAGTGGCATGTACCGGCTCGCATTTTCGCTCGCGTGTCGTTCAGCGAGCCGACTCTACTGGAAACTCTTAGGGCAGCCAAAACAAACTACAACTCTTATGAAACCTGGATGCATTTTCGGGATGGGTCAACCCTAAAACGGATAACTTCCTGGTGTTTAGGGTTGATGCCTCCCGACTCGCTTATGTTTCCGAATGGGTAATATATTGTTTTCCAGTGCGTCTACGATCGGGTAGGTGATATTTATCAACCAGAATATAATATGTTATACGTGAACACGATTTGATCCGCCGAACTTTACTTCCAGAAGAAGGCGACGCGCGCGCTGTAGTAGACGGAGGTCAAAACCCTTAATTAAAAACATGAATACACAATTTGGTTCTTCTAGCAAATACCGCTTACTTCCGGCTCAGCTTGTTCGCCAAGTCGGTTGGGCAGCTCTGGGCTGAAATCCTACGGTCGAAATTTACCGGCCCTACTTTGAACACTCGTCTGGCAATGTTCGGCCCTGGTTGATATTCTCCTTTCGTTGCATACCCATCAAAAGCTTTGAGGGAAATACTCGCTATAACGCGGAATTATTTAGATTGTGCAGAGAAGCTCGGACTGTACACCCTGTTTCGCGCTAGCAGAGCATCTGGTTGCAGAACATGCACAGGTTGTAGAACGTCACCACGTTTGAAATGGTCTTATCACCGACGGTACAAGCACATTCACAAGAAAGCGGTTAGCTAGGATGCTGCATGGTAAATAACATTAACCAAGCGTTTCAAAGCGGTTGAAAAGGGTATACATCGATAAAGAAAAATTTTGCCCCCAGTACCACTCCGTCAGCTGGTGCGGCTTTGCCCGCAGGTTTCAGCCATACGGTTTATGGCACCTGACCGCACTGTAGCAGCGAATCGCGCAAGGTGAGAGGGTCGAGAAACAGGGTGTAATATATCAAGTGCAGCTGACAAAATTCTTGCAGGTTTTTCCCCTTCCCCGTATCTCGTTTTCCTCCTCTTTCCTCTCTTTCCTCTCGTTCCTCTCACCCTCTGGAACAAGCAGAGCACGAGTACGGTTGTCGCGCGTCCTTGACCCGTGGTCGTCGTTCGTCACGCTCCCACCTCGCTTACTTTTGTTTCCGTCCTTACGTTTTAAAACTTTTAAACCATGGGCGCTCGCAGGGAGACGTTTCGTTGGGGAGATGCGGAGGAGGAAGAGGAGGGATTAGATTCCGTTCTCCCGCCTACGCAGACGATCGGACCCGACGAGAAGGGAATCAAGATCGTTATCGAGTGGCGTCTTAACGAGGAGGGCCAGCGCGTTAAGGTGACGAAGAAAATCCGCGTTAAGAAGCAACTCAAGAAGCTGAAGCCCGAGGTCATTCGCCGCCGGAGTCTCAAGAAATTCGGCGACGCGGTCGGGCAGGTAAGCGCCTTTCATTTGATCTCATCTCGCAACAAGACTGCTCTATTAGGCCATGTACTGCTGTTTTCTTAATTGGCGAGTCACGGCTTGCCCGCCGGATGATCGTCTTAGGGTTTAAGCAGCCTGACCCCTTTATCGAATCTTTCCGTGCTTTAACGACTGGCTTCTTTTCTGTGCAACGCAACCGCTCCTTCCTCCCGCTTTCCCACCTTAATTTCCTTTCTTTCTCTTCCCTAATGTCCCCTCCCTTCTCTCCCCGCTCTCCCCACCCCCCACTTCCCCACCCTCCCCGGGCGGCTCCGACAACTTCCCCATGGATCAGCGGAAGGATTTTTTTATCGAGCGGCACAAGGTGGCGCGTGAGTCGACTCAAGACTCGCTCCCTCACACCTTCCCGCTCCTCCCCACCCCTCTGCACCCTCCCGCATCGCTTCGAACCCTTTCCCACCACTCCCCATCCCTCCGCAGGTCGGCTCCGACAACTTCACCATGGTTTCCACAGAGGAGATTTTTCTCGAGCGGCCCAACCAGGCGCAGTCGAAGCAGGACGAGCAGGCGAAACCCTCCGGCGACCTGGCGGCGATCGGCAGCGCGTCGCTCATGGTGTGTCGCATCTGCGGCAAGAAGGGCGACCACTGGACCTCCAAGTGCCCCTTCAAAGACCTCGCCGCCGCGCGCGGGCTCGCCGTCGGGGAGAAGTTCGACGAGGACGGCGCCGCGCCGTCCGCCGCCGCCGGCGCGCCGTCCGGAAAAACCTCCTACGTCCCGCCGTCGCTGCGCGCGGGCGGCGCGGCGTCGCGCGCGGGCGAGGACAGCGGCGGCGGCGGGAGGCGCGGAGGCGGCAGGGACGACAGCAACTCGGTGCGCGTTACGAATCTGTCGGAAGACACGCGCGAGCAGGACCTGCAGGAGCTGTTTGGGCCGTTCGGGCCTGTGTCGCGCATCTACGTGGCGTTCGACCGCGAGACGGGACTCAGCAGGGGCTTCGCGTTCATCAACTTCATCAACAGGTGCGTGCGTTGGGGTCCGCTCCGCTCCGAGTGCGTGGTGCACGAGCGCCACGAGTTCGTATCATTAGGCGCCTCAAACGTGGACCGAGCAGGGCCTTCGCATTCATCAGATTCATCAACAGGTGCGTTGGGGTCCGCCCCGAGTGCGGTGGGGAGGGTCCAGGCGCTTTGTGGGGCAAGGAGCGGAGTGTGCGGGGAGGGTTAGGCGCTTTGTGGGGCAAGGTTCGTCAGCACGAGCGTCAACAGGTGCGCCAGCAGCTGTAGCAGCAGCTGTAGCATGAGCTGTAGCAGCAGCTTTAGCATGAGCTGTAACTGTGATCATCATTGAGTGTGGGGGGTCCTCAAGGGTCGAAGCGGCCACAACGGATCGTGGAGGGTCGTCGTAGCGGTTCCAAGGGGTCGCAGAAGGGTCTAACAGTCTCTTGCGGTTCGTCAAGGATAGTTGCTTTTAGTCTCGTCAGGTACATGAAGGTTATTGGTTTACTGCGTGGCCATAGAGGTTATCACAGGTCTGCTGCACAGACTGCTGCACAGGGCCGGTGCACAGGGTGCTGCACAGGTGCATTGGTCAGTGTGTACAGTTCTTTCCTCACTTGTGTACATGCCTGTGATTCGCTTTCTCAAGTACCTTCCATTGTTGTTTCCCCTATTCCTCTGCGCCCATGGTTGTTTGTTGCTTGTTTCACCTCACCCGTGGTTTGTTCCCCCCTCTCTCATTGTTGTTTCCCCCGTCACACATGGTTGTTCCCCCTCTCTCTCATGATTGTTTCCCCATCACTGATGATTATCTCCACATTACTCATAATTGTTTCCCCCTATCTCACTTCTCCAATCCGTGTTTCCCCTTTATCCCCCTTGCCTGTGGTGCTTGTATGTTCAGGGAAGATGCTGTTCGAGCAATCAACAAGCTCGATGGTTACGGTTATGACAATCTCATCTTGCGTGTGGAGTGGGCCACACCACGAGCAGATCGCGGCTAGAATCCCCGTCTTTGTTTTCCTCCTCGAATTGCCTGTTGGCTGAAAGTCTGTGTCATTCTTCTGATTCTTTAACTCAAGCTGAAGCTGTGTTTTAGAATGACGATTTGCTGGATCTAATCAGGCCAGCAACGGGTAGGTTGTGCTGGTGGGCCCAAATGGTTACTCAATTGTTTAGGGGATTGGCATGGCAATGCACAAGTCTGCAAGCCAGTTGCAGCCTTAACCACTTTCCATGTGTTGAGAATTCGCAACAAGACCTAGTCTCCTTTTTTAGCTTCATCTTTACTTGCATATTGAGTTCATAAATTTGCACTGGTAAACTCGATCAAGTAATGGTGAACTTGCCAAGCATTAATTTATTAATAATACTATCGTGCTTCCAAGCAAGGTGCCCTAAAACGTGGTGATGCGTGTATTGACACGTACACCCTAATGCTCACTCAACCGCCCACTCTGAACACGTCCACTGCCACTCCATACGCCCAGTGGTCGACATTCAAAGCCAACGGCCCGCGCGTTACTAGCCCACGACAAAACCAAGATGTTCGAGTTTCCCAGACAAAACACGCTGGGCTACCCACAATTTCCGCAACTGTAGTTATTTTGTGAACCTTCGTTCTACATTCAGTCCCATTCTGCCCCTGGTGAACTCATGATCGAGAGAGGAGCACAGGGAAAGATGGGGAAGGGGACTGAAATGGGCATCATGTGTACAAGACATTTTACACGCCACCTCAAGATCCACCCTGCTGCCCACCCTGACATTTTCAGCTCCCGCCCTGACACCTTCCAGAGATTGGACTCACCGCCACGTGGCATTGACTACATAGTTTTGTCATATGTGGTTAGGGCTGCTGGCGGTCAGATGCATCGATACCCATTCAGTTGACGTGAGGTGTCAGATTTGTTCCAGACGAATTCGCAGGTAGAGCGAAGCTTGGCATGAAAACTAAGCTGCTGCCCAATGCTTCTGAAAACTGCGGGAGTGTTTACGCAGCATATTTATCAAGAAGTGTAATTCTGTCAAAGGCAATTTTTTCAAAGTCAACACCCCTTCAGAACAGCTGTGCACATGGGAAGCACTGTGCAGGTGGTATTATCTGGCACCTTCTCAGGAGTTCGAGTGCTGTCGTTTTGCAACGCTATCGTCAGCGTGAGCCCGTTCATTGGTTGGACAACGCGACTCAAAACAGATCGTACATGCGTCTCGAGACCAAACCATATTCGTGGGGGTGTTCGTGACATCTGGCCAACAACACGGCCAAACCCATCCACAACCACCTGCTCCCCTCACCAGGGCAACTGGGCTCCAAAAGCCTCGACCACCCTTCTTAGTCGCTCCGTACTCAGATTCTCATTTAGTTATCAGCTCTGTAACTTCAAAACTCTGTAACTCATCGTCTAGCATCTTCAAGTTTACTAACCACACCTCACAACTGGCAGTCTCGACCACTTCAATGGCTCGCACAATCCTCCTTGCCCTCTTCGGACTTCTCCTTATAACTTCAGGCGCAGATGCGGCTCCGCGCAGGGGCGGCGCCAAGGGGAGCTCGAAAGGAAGCTCCAACACGTTGTCGCTCTCTGACGCAGTGAAAGCCTCGGAAAAGGCCAAGGGCGCCGTCTCATACAGCCAGGACCTCGTGACGCAGCTCAAAGCCAAGGCCGACGACGCGATTGCAGCCTCCGCAACCAAGGAAACCGAGGAGGAGACGGCCCTCGCAAATTACGACACTGCAGCCGACACTTTCGCGACGTCCGTCTCCGATCTTCCCAAGGCCAACTTCAATGCCGATCGTAAGAAGGCCCTCCAGGTGCGCCTCGCGGAGAAGCTCAAGGCCGCAACTGCTCGGTCCGCGACTGCGAAGAAATACGCCGACGCGGTTACCGCATTGGATGCGCAAGTCCTCGCTGCTTCCGGCGCTGCCGAAACGGGTTCCACCGCCGCCGCTGACGCTCTCACCGCTGCTCTTGACGCCGTCGATGCCGCGAATGCTGCGGCTAAGGCCGACCCAAGCAGCGCAACCCGTGCGGCAGCCGCCGAGAAGGCTGTCGCAGTGGCCGTCGCACAGAAGGTCGCAAGCGGGTGGGAAGTGCACTTGGCGACTCTGGCGAGCCTCAAGGATGCTTCCGCCACACTCAGCGCGGACGCGACGAAGGCTTCCGACGACGCGACGACGGAAGAAGGCACCATCAAGACGGCAAAGGAGACGGCCGATGCTGATCTCGCGACTGCCATTGCGGATGCTGCTACCGCGCAGCAGACGTACGACGCGGCGAAGCAGGCGCTCAACGCGGCGGACGCCGCCCTGGCTCAGGTTCGCACGGCGGTGAACAAGGCCCGGGCGTCCCAGGTTGACAAGGTCAAGGCGATGAGGGATGCCGTTACCTCACTATACACGAAAATTCTTGCGAACATCGGCGCGTCGAAAACGTGGGTGGATGTTACCACCTCGGCGACACTCGCCGGGCAGAAGGACTGGGAGAACCGCGCGTCAGGCAAGGCTGCCTCAGATCCCAAGGCTCTCAGCAACATGGACAGCATCGTCAAGGGCTCTGAGAAGGGCTCCAGTGCCGGTGACTCCAGCGGCGAGGCTGTGTAAGCCGTGTTTGGTAATTTTAAAATAGGTGGAATTGAGAGGTAAATTTTCATCGTTCTCTGCTGGGGTTTGGCTGGCCGGCCGACTGGGCGCATGATACGGTGTTTGATTAAGACGTGGTCCGCGTTGGTCTGGCTGTGCCAAGTGCCTCGGTGTTTGTAACAATTTTTGTACTTGTATTAACCATTTTATTCAATGATAGCCAGTTCTTGACCGCCTGGTTCTGAATTGGCAATGAGAATTCCCATTTCACAGTATCATCCTGGTTATGGTTCTGGATTTTTTACTCCCCAGCCGTTCAGTTTCTCTTTGTAAAAATATATGAGACATGCTCGGCTCTTTCTGAGCATGAAAGCTTTGAGGTGAAGAAAGGTGCTCCATGGAGTTAGGACAAGGAGACCTTGTGCACCCTGTATCCGCGACAGAGAGACCTGATGACCTTGCACCCTGAACCAGACTTCGAATGTTCAACCTGAATTTGCATCTGAATTTGCGTTTTGGAAACTGGATGATCCCCTCAGCTTCGCGCCGCACTGGTGCATACATTTTCTCCCAGTTCGTCGCATGCCGCCCAGGTTTTTTGGAGGAAATGACGGGCCGCCCCGTTTTCTAGATTCGGATTTCTTTGGGCAGTGGTTTTGACACCGCCTAAGCTTTGCGCTCGCGTCCGATTCCTTGGGGCAGATAATTCCGACATTTTCGATAACCTTGTAGCCAGGGCAAGTATGAATGTTACCTGGTTTCAGTTTAGTGGCCAGTGAATAAAATCAACCCCTTTTGGACGGCAAGCCATTCGGGGGGCATCAACCATAAAACTCCTTGTCACATAGTGTTTAGGGTTGATTCTGCCCAAGTTCATGTATTTCCCGAGAGGGTAATATATTTGTCTGCCTCAAAAAATAGCCACAATGACAACAAACTGCCCGTCGGAATTGGACGTGATCGCGGAGCAATGTGTGGTAAAAAACACTGCCCATTGGAATAAAAAAAAAGAAAACACGGTGCTTCGTCATTTCCTCGGTTTTTTGCCTAAGGAAAGTACACATCGCCCAGGTGTCCTGTATTGTTAGCCAAGTGTGCTACATGTCACGAGGTGGGAAGAGATGACGAAGCTTTTCTTCTCAAAATCGATGCAGAAGCTTCAGCTGCAGCGAAGAGTGACAATCACGACGGTAACTACTTGATCCATCATACATTTCCGATTCTAATCGAGATGCAGTGCCATTGTGGCAAACGTCATGAAAGAAAGCTACCTAACCTCACATACAAAATTACACAGTTGCAGTGCCATTGTGGCAAGTATTGTCAGTCAGGCATTAAACGGTCAGTAAGGGTGAGGTCTGGAATGGCAAGGAACGAACTCTGGCTCAGTCGGTCGGATGAAATGAAACCCATCCCCAACTTGGGATCGCTCGATCAGAACTTAGACCCGAGGATTTTATCAAGTCTAATCATGGAAGTGGCAGGCAGAATCGTGCCTAGCAGCTGTCTGACAAAGTGGATGCGCCTCCAGGAGTGTGCCTGCGGCATTGCGCCTGCGACATGCATTTTGTCCAAGAGAACCCTTGGAAGAACTCTCTCAGCCGTGGCACGTCATGTGGAGGCAGTCTGCTTCCTACGGTATCTCTCACTTTCCCCCCTCGCCTAGACTGTTCTCCAAGGTTCTTCGGTTGGTGTCGGAGGCACGTGATACTGAGGCAGTCTTTTGAGTCGACTCAAAACTCATCTGCTTCCGATCTCTCAATCCCCCCCCTCGTCTAGAAAGTTCTCCAAGGTTCTTCGGGTATGGGAGGCACGTGATACTGAGGCAGTGTGATGCTGCCAGTACCACGCGAGGCTTCATCGCGTGCAGTCCTCAGGGAACCCGACGCGGTCCTGGGTGAGAGCAGTTTAAGGAAGCATGCTTAGAAGGCGCGTTATCGCCATTATTCCTCTGTAAGTCGCTTCGCCAGCTCGTTTGCCACGCGAACTGCACGCGCGAGAGCGCGCCGCGGCTGTAAGTGAGCCGAAAGGTCAAACGAGTTCACGAAAGACGTACAACTAAGGCAGCAGAGGCACCATTGAATCCGAGTCGCCGGGTGATTTCTTGCTGACTCCGAGTCGTCGCGTGGTTGGTCTCTTGGACGGAAGAGCCGATGGCAGCACCCTCGAAACAGTGGAGGCAGGTCGACACTGCTACCTAGACGATCCGACCGTCTAGTAGTGAAGGGTCGACAGGCATTTTCTAGCAAGCGGGCTGGCTGCTCGCGTGAAAAAAGCAGGGTCTGGCACGACATCGATTCTGGAGAGGTCATAAACGAGGATGGTCCGTCCATTGCGGTAAATTGATTCGCTTTCTCTGGGCGATGCGATAGATACTCGCAGCGACCACATGAGACGCTGGGAATTCGGGTGCACCTGGCAAACTTGGGGCCGGGTCGTCCTCGGACTGCTCAAACTGCGGCCGGGTCGTCCTCGGAAACGAGGGGCCGGGTCTTTTCTTGGAAAAGGGTGGAAACGAGGGGCCGGGTCGTCCTCGGACTGCTCAAACTGCGGCCGTCTGTTGGAGGTGTTTGGAAAGGTTTGAAAAGAGCTTGCGAAAGCACCGAGGGGATTTCAGGAGTGAGAAGTCGTTTTCAAAGCAGGCTAACGCGGTCAAAAAGGTTTTTGCGCGATAAGGGTACTTCACAATGTGGTGAAAATCAATGTAGGAGCCTGTCAAGCAGTTTGTCTTCTATGCTTCTGAAATGCTCTGTAACCATTGGCACAGCACGGTACCGTACTACAATGCTCTGTGACGCTTTCCAATTTCCAAACGCTCGGTTCAGGCTTGAGCAAACTCGTAACCTCGGACTGCTTCGCGTACAACCCGATTTTCGGAGTTCGCAAGTTCGGCCGATTTCAACGCTGCTGAGGCTCCTCGCGTCGCCTTCGGCATTTCCATCGCCAAACTTGCACCCAACCTCGTCTCCCGAGGTTTCCTCCCAGCTAGGCTAGCCCTACATTAGTCTGTGCATTCATTGTATCCTCAGTTCATTCAGTCACAGCCTCGTTATTCGTTTACCTGCGCACTCTATTTTACAACTCATAAAACCTGGTATCAGAGCTACTTTCCTAGTTCACCCCGCTTTTCCGAGGGTAGTTGGTGGCATAGGGTGTAGCTGGTTTAGTGACTACACGACGGTTGGCTGCAGGGATTGTTAATTCAATCCTGCCCCACTCCGATAGTTCGTGTTTTCACTTGCCAGAAGGCCACGGAGACCCGACTGCCCACCAGACGTAGCGCTAGGCACATGGATCAGGAGGCTGTAAACCGGATGATGGCGCAAGTGGCAGAGATGCAGGAGAGCATGAAGACATTAATGGCGGAAGTGACAACACTACGAGAAGAAAACGCCGAGCTACGCCAGACGCGAGGTGAAGCGCGTCAGGAGTCGCCTGTGGACGAAGGCGAGGGCAACAGTCAGGCGATGAGCAACCCACTGGATGCTCTCACACGTGACTTCGAAGAAGAAGATAGGCAACGAGCGGCAGCAGCGCCAGTTGCAGTTACAACTATCAAGATCAAACCCGTCAACCCGCCCCCGTTTAATCATACGGACAAGACAACTACAGTGAAGGGGTGGCTGTTCGGTGTCGAGGTCTTCTTCACGGCAGCAGGCGTCAACGACGATGCCCCGCGTATTAATTACGCGGTTTCACTTCTTCGGGGCACGGCGCTTGAGTGGTGGCGCCGGACCTTAGAAACAGGGACTCCGACAGGTGTGACACATGCGGCAGACGGGACCTCTACAGTGGCTAATCAAGTGGCAGAACTGATCTTCGGTGTGACCAAGATACGCACGTGGAAGGAGTGGGGCGCAGCCTTACGAGATCGCTTCGAGCACGTATCCGCCTCGAAGCAAGCTCGCATGAAGCTGCGTGCATGGTCGTAGATGGCTTCTGTCCAAGACTACACGGCGTCATTTATGGGCTTCGCCGACCAGATCGATGACATGTCGGAAGCAGAGCGGTTGGATAAATATGAGATACAGTTTGAGGTCCGCCAAAGGCGCCCGACATTGTTCCTCGAAGCAGTACGCGTGGCGGAGTCAACTGATGTGCTTATGCAGTACGCGAGAGCTGTCAGAACATTGTAGCTTACTCATTTCTGTAGGCTATGGTGGGGTATCCCATAGGGGGTACAACCCAACTAGGGTTTCCTATTTGTACTCACTTCGTTCATAGTTCACTCATTCTCTCGTTCACTTCTTCTCATGGTATCAGAGCAGGTTCCCCTGTGGGAACTGTGCTTAGGGCCCACCACTTAGATTTTTTTTTTCCCTGCCCTAGCGCCCTGCGCCCTAGCGCCTACCCTAGCGCCCGCCCTAGTGCCCTATCGCCCGCCCTAACACCCGCCCTAGCGCCCGCCCTAGCGCCAGCCCTAGCGCCCTAGCGCCCGGCGCCCGCCCTAGCGCCCGTTAGCCGCCCGCGGCCTGCCCGTGCGCTGCCGCCCGTGCGCCGCCGCCCGTGAGCGCCGCCCGTGAGCGCCACCCGTGAGCGCCGCCCGTGAGCGCCACCCGTGAGCGCCGCCCGTCGGCTACCGCCCGTGAGCGCCGCCCGTGACGCCGCCGCCCGTGACGTCGTCGCCCGTGAGCCGCCGCCCGTGACGCCGCCGCCCGTGACGCCGCCGCCCGTCACGCCGCCCGCCCGTGACGCCGCCGCCCGTCACGCCGCCCGCCCGTGAGCCGGCGCTGCCCGCGAGCCGCCCACCCGTGCGCCACCAGCTCGCCCGTGAGCCACCGACGTCACCCGTGAGCCGCCGACGCCGCCGACGTCGCCCGTGAGCCACCGACGCCGCCGACGCCGCCCGTGAGCCGCCGACGCCGCCGACGCCGCCCGTGAGCCGCCGACGCCCGTGCCGACGCCGCCGCCGCCGCCCGTGAGCCGCCGACGCCGCCCTTGCGCCGCCCGCCCGTGAGCCGCCCTGGCCGCCCGTCCAGCCGCCCGTGAGCCGCCCGCGCGCCGTCCCAGCCGCCCGTGAG